TTGAAAATCCGTTCGGAAGGGAGGCGACACGTGGCAGAATATCCTGGCCTTCGGAGTAGGCACTTCATAAACTTTAGTCATAAGTTGAATGACATTAAACAGAGTTCAATTTTCTTTGGAAGCACAATCGTATCGTTCTTCTTCCAGGCACGATATTTGGCCTCCCGACATCAGATAACTTTGACACTACGAACTGGAAGGTCCCTCCTGGAAATACATGGCTAGGATTGCAAGGACTCTCAACACGTCTCAACTGACGCAGGCAACCTAAAAGACCTCAAGACGGCTTAGGTGTTCAGAATGCTCGCGACTTAAGTATTAGATTTCTGGCGCAAGGCGATTAAGGCTGACTGCGTCGACCCTGGCAGAGCGCCAGCAAAGAACAGGCGAATGGGTATGGAATTTCCACCCGATTGACACCAATGTTTTCAACGGCCAAACTTAGATTCGATTCAAGTACGCCTAAAACATGCAGCTTCCTTTACCGACGGATACACAAGTTGATTTGGGAGCAAGTGCAAGCGGAATCGGGGCACCCCTCCTTTGATCGGTCGTCTGGGCGCCAGTGGAGAGCTGGCATCGCCTCATAAAATGCGGAAACCCCACCCCACGACAATTGTGCGCGTGCCCAGATCTTCTGATGACTCGTTATTTCACCGCAAGTCCCGTGATGAAGAAGTTAAAATTAAACTGAACCTGGGATAATAGCAGATCTACCTTCTGCGCAAATAACATTTATATGCCTCACACCTCTTCTTCACCAAACTTTAGCCAAGCAAATTGATCATTTGAGTATTGATTGCTATGACCAGGTCACATAGCAGTTTAGAGGTTCTTAAAATGCCTTTATTGTGGTGGGTATCACGAAGGAGTAGGTAATCACCTTTGGTAAAACTGAGATTTGTTGATCGACCTTTTTTTATTCTACCAGTCAGTGTTTTGCACTCAGTACCTCGACAAAAAATTAGGGCGCACCATAAGTGCAATCAAGATATTTTACGAAGTCCTTAATGCAGATTATGATGTGTAGGTGATTAAAAAGTAATCGGGGAAAAATTAAGTATCGTGCAAACAAATAAAACAGCATTAATAACGCCCTGCATGGCTGAGATTAAGATGAAATCGTGGCCTGAGATACATCGTCGTCGCAAACCCTGCTCACTATAAGGTGCAGAAACTTGTTTAGCTGGTGCGCCTACAATGCACACGTCGTCTTTCAAATTGCGACCCATTTTTTTAATACGAGATAGCGGTTTCATCCACTAGCCCGTATCAATTTTACACTGGTAATAGGCACTTCGGCAACAAGTTAAATAGCAGCGTCCGCATTACATTCGTTTATACCCTTTGTCGCCCGTGTACCGATGAATCATCGCAACCAATACATTAGGTTTGGTTAAATGCTACTCGCTAGTAGTCAGTTTCTTCTTGACCTCTGCCTCATGATCGTCATTGTTCAACGTAGGAGTAATTTCATATGGCGACTCTACCTGTAGAATTTTGACGGTCATCTCCTTAATATTTTGTGGTGGAGTGGGCTCGCAAAACTGCGTGTTGAGCCCCCAAAGTCTCACTGCGCCATAATGTCGACTGAAGGACACCCCAATTCTGCGTATGGACTCGACTTACCTTGTGTACAAGCCGGCTAGCGGGTTGCATTCTTAGGTATTCTCGGATGAAGATGGAGATGTGACGGTCTTTATAGAGGTGGACACGGGCTTCTAGTGAATATGCTGTACTTGGTTAGCCGGTAGGTTGCCACTCGATCAACTCAGTCAAGAATGGCCTTATGAATAAATTGTTATGGTATCTTGTCGCTCCTGGCTTATTCTTATTGTCTCAAGAACGTAAACCTCTTGAAGTTTACTTTGCTCTTCAAACTCTTTGTAATGAGACCCGTTGCAATGGCGATTCTTGGTTTTTTTGCTGCTGTCGTAAAGTGGGGATCTCTCATTTAATGGGATGATCCAAACTCTCGACTGGCGCCCAGACGACCGACTGACGAAGATGGAATCCCGATTTGCACTTGCTTTTTCCTTAACTTGCTTATTCGTCGGTAGAGAGGGCTGAACTCTTCTTGAAGCGGAGCTACTTTCCGTTTAGTCAGAGCAAAACTTCAAATCTCGTAGAGTCCCTTAGGACGTCAAACTAAGCGGGTAGAACTTAAAGGGTTTCAAGTCTTGCAGACTTAATGAAACTTAACTCTTATTGTAAACACGAGCATTTTAGCTTCTAGTCCTGGTTCAAAGGACTACTACTCCAACACGTGGCACTAATGCCCAAGAGTACTTAGCCTTAACTCAGGCAATTACCACTTACGATTAGATGCGTCTCATAAAGACTTGTGTCTGAAACTGACCAATAGGGGAACTAGATATACTTATTGATTTCTAGCAAGCCTTACTTACACATTTGACCGTTAAAACTACGCAACCTGGTCGAAAAGTCATCATCGTAGTTCTTCTTATGTATACCACACTAGAACTAAAACGTCGACCAAGTACTGTGTACGGACACCGTGCCAGTAGTAGCACAGAAGACTGGTAGGGCGGATGATCCACCAGCCCAACGAGCAAATCGTTTGCTACTCTACTTAGCATACGAGTGCGTGTGTTTGGATTCGATCCAGGAATTTCACTGCCACAAGGTGAGATACTGACCACTATACTACACACGCCTGGAGAAGCAGGGTATCGATCCCTGTTCATCTCGAATGCTGCGCGAGCGCTCACCAATTGAGCTAATCATCAAGTCAAGTCGACTTTATAAAGACATATTACGATAGACATCCCCAAACTATGACCGATAGTGTACGGTATCATCGCTTAGCGTATGTGATACAAAAGTACGCCTTATGAGTGACACTGATCTCTTTCTTGGTGTGCCACAGCAATGTACCTTGTTAACAGAACCGTTTCTTGTATTTCCGTTGCGTTATGGACACCAAGACGAAAAGAAAAGCGAGGATGACCGAGAAAGCATCGGTGAACACGACGGACACGACGACGCCGGCAACATGAATCACAACAAAAACAAAAATGACGATGAACATGAAACATCGACCATGATACAAAGCAAGAAGAGGCTATTAAATACGACGAAATTAACAAGTTAGACATCGGGGTTGATGAAGACGAAAGAGACTTCTGGATGGATGCAAGCATTACTGTTCATTCCTTTTCGTACAAAAGAGTTTGCGCCTCATCTTGCTAATTTGTTCAGTCATCTGTTGCCATAGTACCCAACGTTTGTAGCGGAATTACAGGGCGTTTACTGTACAGTTTTTGTTGAGTACCACAATAAGTAACGACCGGTGGATCCGAGTGGTACAGTCTTGGTATCATGTACTGACGGTAATACCGCATCTTATTAGATAGGGATAAGCGATAAGACTTCTGTCATAGGATCGCGATGTAAAAGTCATTTATACAAGTCTTTATGGTTCTATTACCATAGATAAAGAGTAAATAAATTTCAGTTCCCCTTTTAAATCGTTGGACACAAGTGCCTAGTCAAAGCGTACTGTGTTGTTAAAAGCATTGGCCTTGTCAAGGCGTTTACTCTTGTTTAACTAGCAATGACTAGTTAGTGTGTGATTCTGTAAATCGTAATCCTCTTGGAACCAGGAGTGTTGAGCTTGAACGTTCAAAAGACTGTACGTAGTTATAAGTTCGTTGAAAAATAAGAGACTCTTTGGGTCTACGACTTCCTCTCTTAAGGAGCGCTAAGTAGCTTCGCTACAACGTTAGAGGAAGGAAAAGAGTATTGCACAAAAGATCAGATTTGAAAGGATTCACGATGAAACGAATTATGAGAAGAGCGCGGACAAGAAGAAGAGAAGAGCGGCCAGCGTACAAGCAAGAAATTTACATGGGCTCTTATTTGCTGTTTATGTGTAGGAACGACAGTAGCGAATCATTGTGCATCCCAATCGACAAAAGCGCAGTCTTGTTGAAGGATGCAAACGAACAGCTTAATTGAAAGGTCACGAGAAGAAACAGGGTCGATACAGCCAACAAGACGTAAACATATTAATACCAAGACATAAAAATTATACCTTCTATTTGCAAAGGCATCCTAAGCAAAAAGTTTTGGTTTTGGTCAAATTTAATTCCGTACAAGCACTACTTCAATTTTATAGAATTTGAGAGAATTATTATGAATTCATGCTTGCTGATTGCTTAGAAACACTCAAAATAGACGGCAAAGGTATCGAGCTCAAGCAAAATATGGAATATCAGAGTTGGACGCTTCCATACGCGTGATGATTGCTAATAATTCGAACAATTGCGTCAAATAATATGAGGATGGAAACTTTATGCGTCTCCTCATTATCCCCGGCAGTGTCCCACAGTTGCTCTAGAAAACAAGCACAGCTGTTTTCTAGACGGACGAGACATACCGAGCGAATGAGAATGGCTCTTGTAACGGGGCACCCTGAAGCTTGTACTGGTGACAGTACAAGCTACTTATTCTGATGACAGAATAAGGCGGTGCCTCGTAACTTCACGTACACTGGTACTTGCAGAGGAAGACGGTAAGAAGAAGCGAGTACGTGGTTAAAGTAAAAAGTAGAACTGTATTTAGTCATAGTTAATGTCTGCAATAAATCACAATAACCCTCATCTAACTATGTCTAAGTACAAATGTGCATATCAACTATCTGCTCACCACTCATTGCGTGCGTCTGTCGTGGCGCGTCTTCGTTGGTTGATATAATGGCCTATATCAACCAATTAGGAACTACTCGTAAGTGCTACAGAATATTTGTCCTTTTGACAATATTCTGGGAATATAACTCTTATAGTTATGTTCTATTTACAATTTCTAGTAAATTGTTATGTAACGGTTCACCCCGTTACATCACCCCCCCCTTAACCATCAGTCACTTTAGTGACTGATTGACTAAATGGATACTCGTCCCAAATCATTTGGGACAGGGTTTGCACTTGTTGGTCCGAGTCCACTTCCCAACATTTCATCGCATGGTTAACAAGCCCATGCGGTGCGCGAGCAAGGCCGCCGAGAGCGCGTCCGCACGTCTCTGTGCGGACGCCGAAGCAGAAACCACAGCAACTGATGTCTCATCGGTTGCTGAAGCGACCCAGTCTGTGTCACTTGGTGATGCAGGCGCTGGTCATGAAGACACTCATGTCTTCACAGAGTACGAGCTCGGTGTCTCGTACTCTCCTGATACGGATGAAGGATCCGTATCGACGGCGATTGAATCCAAGCCGCCTGCCAAGCGTGGCATGGACGATGCTTTGCGTCGCAGCATCTTTGGTTCATCTGATGCATCAGATGAACCATCGCCGAAGCGAAGGCGCTCGAGTTCGCGAGACTCGGGCGCTCACAGTGGTGTCGGTTCTCCTATTGACACCACTTCGCAGCGAGGTGCCACTACTTCTGTCGGCACGTCGCAAGAAGAGCGGGACCGCAACGTGTTGCGTCTCTCTCCTGAAAAGAAGGCATGGATGCCTCCAAAATCCGTCATGGATCACTTGTCGGCGACGACGAGTGATCGTTATCGAACACGGTTGTTCGATTCGTCAAGGATCCATCACCTTGACCCCAGTGCGAAAAACTATCGCGCTGAACATGAATTCTTCATCGATGCTTTCTTTAAACATCGATGGTACAGTGGAAATCACAAACGTGATGGTCCCTCACTGCTTCAAGCGTGGAACGCCTACATCCATAACCTCGAGGATGTAGGTCGTGACGCTTGGAACGACAAACTTATCAAAGCTCGTGATAAGTTTGAAAAGCGAACCCCGACAGGTGCACGCTACAAGCTGCATCGTCTATCAAGGGAGAATGGATTACCCTGACTCGCTTGGGGAGACTCGTGCCCGTGTTGTGTAAACAACTCTGCGCGCGCACCTAAGGAGACTTACCTCCTTACCAGCCCGTGGTGGCGCGTACGTATCTCTAGTGAGATGTACGAAGGGATTGACAACCTGAAATCCCTTTACGACCGTGCCGGGAAGACTTTCTCCGGCGGTCCTTCTGCGGCACATGATGTGCCGCGTCGTACTGCTCGACCAGACCCAGTACGTCAACCATCAGTTGGGAGCGGGGCTCCCAAGTATCCCAGGACGGGGGATAGCCGCGCCACCGGACGAGATAACTCGTCCGACGTCCGTTCACATCACGGTGGTTCAACAGCTGCTCAACTAGATAGCGCTGGCCACCGCGAGAGTCCTCTAATGGAGGTGGATGAGGAGGAAAGACGCTCTCCACACGATCATGTGGATCCGTGTGTTCCCGAGAGCTTCTTTGATCGCGTAACTCTTGCGTTACGCGACGACATCGAACATGAGCGGAATAGGCGTCTCCAAATGGCGGACACTGCCTTGAAGCATCGAGCTGAGTTTGCCTTTGCTCAGCTTGAGAACGAGAGATCTCTGACATCTCTTCGTGACAAGCTAAGGGTAGCTCGTGGGATTGTTGATCGGTCTCGGGATGAGATAGCTGCTCTTCAGACCCTTGTTGATGCCCACCATCGGGAGCACAAGGCTCTCTGCAAGATGCTTGAGCGCAAGGGCGCTCTTCATCGGAAGAAGCAGCGTACTGATGGTACGGCTTAAGCCGACTAACGTAAAACGTGGGATGTGTTCGCATCTTACGTGGTAACACGATCGTGTATGCATTGCCCAGGCGGTGCAATACACGAAATGGGCCGATGTACTTGGGTAGTAGTTTACTGCTGCCCAAGTTAGTCACTACATGCTTTGGTAGATTAACCGTAGACAGTAGGACTGAGTCACCTTTATTTGATAAAAGAGTGTTTGCCATTCCATTCTTATCGGCGTTTTGCTTTTGCTTATCCACCGCTTCGGCGATGGAGTCTTGCACAAAACGGACTACCGTTTCACGAGCCAGTATGAACTCATCTGATGACTCGTTAGCTTCAGTGCGCTGTGAGTGCACTGCAGCGACATCAACCTTTTCTTCAGTGAGGGCTTCCGCACTCTCACTGGCATCATCTTCTTCAGTGAGGGCTTCCGCACTCTCACTGGCATCATCTTCTTTGGTATCGATGTTATCGATATCGGCATCAAACGCAATGACCTCTTCGTCAGAGCGTGATGAGCGTGAACCAAATCGGTTTTTGCTCGCGCGAGTCCCTCCCCCCTTAAACCAGAGTTACACTCTAGTAAGGTGGGTACACGCGGATGGCGTAAGCCGTTCATGTTAAACGGTGTATGTGTCGTGGACGCATGCACCGAGTTGTTAATGGCAAACTCTACCATTGGCAAAAACTCACTCCAACTCTTAAAGGAGTGTACGTATCCTCAAATTATCTCTTCAAGGACACGATTGGCACGTTCCGTCTGACCATCTGACTCTGGATGATCAGATGTAGACATCTTCAAGCGCGTTCCGAGTGATTCGAACATGGAACGCCAGAAACCAGCAGTGCATCGTGGATCTCTGTCTGATACGAGTTCACGGGGAAACCCATGAAGTCGGAAGATGGTGTCAATAAAGACACAAGCACAGCCACTAGCCGTGATTGTCTCGGGTACAGCCACAAGGTGTACCATTTTGCTGAATCTGTCAACAAATACAAGAATACCCGTATTCCCGCGTGCGTCTATGGGTAAACCGAAGACGAAATCCATTGAGATGAATTCCCAGCACTCAGCCGGAACCGATAGAGGCTGTAAGGGTGCACGCAGTGAAGGACTTGACTTCACTCGTTGGCAGACTTCGCATGCGCGAACATACTTTCGCACAAACTGATACTGGCGGGGCCAGTAAAAGTCTCGACTTACCGTGAGATATGTTTTTTCTCTCGGCCACGATGTCCTCCTATAGGAGCATCGTGATACTCGAACATGATCCGCAAACGCAGATCAGTATCATCTGGAATGACAACACGTGGTGTGTCACCAGAAACGGCTGTATAATACAGTAGGCCGTTACGAGTAGTGTATCGATCTGATGCAGATCGATACGCAGGCGACAATCGTTTCAACGATTCTCGAGATGGTTGTGAGAGATGTGTCAACAACTTCACAATCTCACCATCTTGGGCATACGCCCGCCTTACATCATCATGCAACGTTAAAGATGGTATGGTGGACGTCATAACCGCAACAGTGACTGTCTCACTGTTGGGTTTCGCGACTGTTTCAAAGTCGGGACGACGTGAGAGTGCATCAGCGACGACATTAAGTCGTCCTGGTTTGTACTCGACCGTAAAGTTGTATTCTGCAAAGAATGACAACCACCGCGCCATTCGTTGTGAAAGGTGCGGGCTGTTCACTGCCGTGCGTAAGGACGCATGGTCAGTGTAAACAACGAAGGGTCTATCTCCTAATAGATAGACTCTGAACTTCGCGAGTGCATACTTCATGGCAAGGAGTTCCTTGTCATGCACTGGATAGTTCCGCTCAGCTGGTTGCAGCTGACGCGACTGATAGCAGACGACGCGTTCAACGCCTTCAAGGTCGTACTGCATTAATGCACAGCCGATTGCGAAATCGCTGGCATCACAGACCACATGAAATGGCCTGTCCTGATCGGCAATTGCTAGGACTGGGGATTGTATCAAGCTCCGGTTGATACCATCAAAGGAGCGCTGACATTCAGCGTTCCATAACCACCTCTCGTTCTTTTTCAACAAACGATAGAGGTGAATAGTCACCTCGGCGTAATTGCGTGAATACTTATGCCAATACGCCGCTAGCCCAAGGAATTTTCGAAGACCTTTGACATCAACCGGCACAGGCCAGTCGGTGATCGCCTTGATCTTTTCGGGATCAGGACGCACACCGTTCTTACCAACGATGCACCCAAGAAGTGGTATTTCGCTTGCTGCAAATATACACTTCTTGAGGTTGGCATACAATTGATGCTTTCGCATGATTGTAAGAACCTGTCGGACGTGGTACGTGTGAACCTCAACGTCCGACTTTCCATCCATAGCTCGACTATGGATGAATACGTCACCGAAATAACTCGGCGCGAATTCTCGTACTGGTCTCAACAGATGTGATACACATCTGTTGAACGTGGCAGGGGCATTACTAAGCCCTTGTGGCATTACTAGCCATTCCCAGAGCATGCCGCTATGCGTGCTAACTGCGGTATAGGGTATATCCCGTTCCCGCATAAGGATTTGATAGAAGCCATCCATCAAATCCATGGACGAAAAGATGGTAATCTTTGACATACCATCAATGATTACGTACTTCCTCGGTATCGGCGTCTGAGCCGGTACCGTTGCAGCGTTCAATTTGTTGAACGCGTGCACTATCCGCCACCCTCCTGTTGCTTTTCGCACACAGAAGGTCGGAGAGCTATGTGAGGAAGTTGATTCCCTCACATGGACCGCAGCTAAACGATCGGCAAAGAACTTGTCGATCGCAAGTACTTGTTCACGAGGCAGTGGCCACTGCTTCACGACACAGTACTTCGAGCCTGGTTTAAGCTCGACCTCGTGTCGAATACCTTTATCCTTTGGTAATTCGCACGGAACAGTTTCAGGGAATACATCCTTGAATTCAACCAAATCTTCATAGAGAGGATTTGTCTTGAGCGATTCCCATGATTGGGACTCATATCGCTCAATTCGTGTCTCTTCATCTAGGACACTCTCGTCCATAGATGAACTACTGAGAACTCTCTCGTTCTCAGTAAACACTGTTGCTGACCTTATGTTGGTTACACACTCGTCGTCAGCGACGAGTACGCAGATCTGCTTGACTTTGCCACTACGCAGATCACGCAAGAACCTTTTATGTTCGAGCGTTGGCAACTGAGTGATCTCCGAAGTCAACTTCGGAGGCGCAATCAGATCAAGCTTGTAAGCGCCTACACTTGATCCGTTATTGACTATGACATTCAATGTCTCTGTCATTTCCTGGGGACTTATTCCCTCAGGCTTCGAAGGACTTATTCCTTCAGCTTCCCGGGGACTTATTCCCTCGGGTTTCGGGGGACTTATTTCCGCCGTATTTGTAATATCTGGACTTATTCCCTCAACTACTTCTAGCTGTGGTTGCGCAACCACAGCAAGATCCTCTATAAAAGACCCTCCAGTCGATCTAGCATTATCGTTTTGCTTATACTGAGCGATCGATTGTTTCTCTTCTAGATGTTCCCCACTAGGGATACATCTTTGTCCCGGTCCACTCGACTTATTCGAGTGGTGGACCTTCAGCGCAGCCTGTGTTTCCTCACAGCCGCACGAATCTTGCTCCGAAGTGTAACCGTTTGTTACACTAAGGTTTCGTGCAGTCGTACTAACGACCGTACCACAAGTGAGTCCATCACACTCATTCGTAGTACATCCACACGCTTGTGGACGCTCCAAAACGTTCATCAGATGGCCATCTGATGAACAAGCGGCAGGCATCGTTACTGTTCGATGTTGCCAGTTAACCCGTAGTTCGTACCTTCTGAGCCACGGTATTCCAAGGATGACATCAAATTTGTCATCCAAATCCAATACGATAAAGTCATCGTCATATTGGGTATCTTCTAGCGTATAGTGGATTTTCACTATACGCTTCATGACGGTTACGGATGCGCCTGTCGCAAGACGTACCGTCATCCTCGTAGGAGGTGTGTCACATTCACTGAACTTAAAGTGACCATCTTCTAGCGATTGGCGTTGCACAAAATTGTTGGACGCCCCACAATCGACTAGAGCTCGAAGGGACAACTTATTCGTCACTTCGAGTTTCAAGGTAATGAGTTAGATCTCATTACCTAGAGCAGCAACGCACAACGTTTGTGTGTTGGGAGCAACCTTCATCAAGAGGCCTACAAATTCTCTTGACGTTGCTGGACCAGTAGGGTGCTCCGCACCTACTGATCCTGTCCGTTTTTTGACGGTCCATCCCGTTGTTGCGTCTTTGCACCAACAGCGGGCCCTCGTCCCTGCCCCTTTCTCATGGGTGGACGGTCACTACGCCCAGTGTCGCGAGACACTGGACGAGGGGCACTACACTCGTAAGCGTAGTGTCCTGTCTTTTGACATCTGTTGCATCTCTGCAACTTCTTGTAGCCTGTAGAGCGAGCCTTCTCGCTCTCTACATAACAGAGTTCCATCGGCTCTGGACCTCCGTTGTCATATCGTCTCGGTTGACGATATGATGTCGAGCTGGCGCGAGCCTGTCTCAGACTGAAGTCTTCCTGTTCCGCAATGAAAATGGCTTGTTCTAGTGAATCTAGTTCAAGCCGGAACAGGTGAGTCTTGACGGGACCATCCGCAAGATCCTGCAAGAACACCGAAACCAACGTGTGTTCATCCACCGGATTGGAACTTATACAACTCGTGAGATGTCGTATATGTTGCGCGTAAGCGTGCACATCACGCTTACCCTGTTTGAGCTTCAAGAGCTCGGTTCGAGCTCTGAACTCAGCTCTAGCCGGTTCAAACGTTTGTCTGAGCTGCGAATTGAAGACTACCAACGACCCAAACGCAGATGGGTCGTGCAACTTGATCCCCAAAGCCCAAGTCTTGGCACGTCCTGCCAGATTTGACTGGGCAAATGCAACTTGCATTTCCCCATCGTCGATGCGACGCGCCCTTATGGCGTCATCCAATTCGACGAACCATCTCAAGAGGGAGTCCTCTTCGACTCCCCTATACTTAGAGATGTCAATCTTCAAGGTTTCGGGTCGACGCGAATGCATCGACCCACCAGCAGCAGCATGCTGCTGTCTCAACAGTTCAAACTGTTGAGCACCCTGTTCTTTCAACAACTCTGCTTGTTGAGAACCTTGTTGGTGAAGCAAGGCTACTTTCTCGCGTTCGGCGTCAAGTTCATTTTGAATGAACTTGGCGATAGTAGCATGTTGGGCATCTCTATTGAGAGCCTCTAGCTTGACGCTAACAGCATGGATGCCTATGGTTGAACCCATCCGTTCAACCGCACCCCATTCGACATCGCTCAAATGGGAGTAACCGTCACGCGTAGCGTGAAAGCTTTGGTCATCTTCATCATCTAACATATTCATGTTCGATGTAAACTTGGTCCTTGGACGGACTACGAAGTGCTACCAGGTGTAACGGGGCACCCTGAAGCTTGTACTGATGACAGTACAAGCTACTTATTCTGAAGACAGAATAAGGCGGTGCCTCGTAACTTCACGTACACTGGTACTTGCAGAGGAAGACGGTAAGAAGAAGCGAGTACTTGGTTAAAGTAAAAAGTAGAACTGTATTTAGTATAGTTAATGTCTGCAATAAATCACAATTACCCTCATCTAACTATGTCGAAGTACAAATGTGCATATCAACTATCTGCTCACCACTCATTGCGTGCGTCTGTCGTGGCGCGTCTTCGTTGGTAGATATAATGGCCTATATCAACCAATTAGGAACTACTCGTAAGTGCTGCAGATTATTGGTCCTTATGACAATATTCTGGGAATATAACTCTTATAGTTATGTTCTATTTACAATTTCTAGTAAATTGTTATGAAACGGTTCACCCCGTTACAGGTACGGTCCAGACAAACCTGGTTAAAAAAATGCAGGAATTTAAAATACGGTGATCACAATCCATTGTTTATAAACGATTTCGTTTGAGTAAAGACATTTTGTATCAGGCCGTGCATGATAGGACAACCGCTAACTTTCCTGCTGCAATTTTAAATGGCGAAGGAAGTGGAGCTAAAGAGGGACAACCACGCGAAAGGCTGCTTCTTAGACGAGGCAACTACACTTTCGTGTCCATGAAAAGTATTCGTTTTAACACTGTATCCTCGCCGCTGCATACAAACTTTCTCGAGTGGCTAGGAACACTAAACGTAAGTCTTTGATTGAGCCTTCTCAAAAGAAGCACGGAGGCCCAATTGTCTACACATCACATCACCTACACGTCAACAATAATGCCAAAAGTCAATCCCACCTTAATTTGCTGTATCGACAACTCCACTTCACCTTCTCTCGTACCCGTGCCCTGTCTGAAACATTAAATTCTATGCCAACAAACTCCACTTCTTGTACCACTACAACCCTGTGCCGAGATGCTGAGATCAACAATTTTACCTGTCGCATGTGCCGTCGCTAAGACCGTGGAGGGATCCTGACTCAGCGCCACGTGAGCGTCACTATTTGCCTCTGAATGCAAAGTTAGGTCAGCAACTCCGGCCTCCCTCTTACTGCAACAGATTCAGCCACAGACATTACATTATCGTCGCATGTGCCGTCGCTAAGACCGCGGAGGGATCCTGACTCAGCACCACATGAGCCCTCACAATCTGCCACAAAATGCAAACTTAGGGCAGCAACTCCGGCCTCCCTCTTACTGCAACAGATTCAGCCACGCACTGAACATTATCTTTTCTTCCGTTTCAAATTCGTTTCTGGGACCCCTCTCACAGATTACTGTGCTGAAGCTCAGCCTGTTCAAAGAACAATCTGTAACGGTAGCCTCATCATCTCAGGTTCTGTAGCAAGCCCTAGTGCCCACACATATTAACGGCCTTAGGTCGCATGGTACCCTCCGCTACAATGATCTGTGTCATTAGTAATGAATCATCCCTCGAACAGCGGTGTGCTGATAAAGAGTCCGATTTTCCCGTGATCTACGCCATTTTATAAGCATCTCGCAGAATTGTTGGATTTGTATCACCTTGTGTGAATAAAGCTTTTTTAATTACTGCTCGATTCGCCGCCCTATTTATATCCAGACGCCGGGCATTACTGGCCAGTCCACATCTGGCAAACTTTCAGTAAATAAAATTCTGTGTGTAGCCAGGGGATGCTACGAAATGACGACGAGATGGACGCACTCGAGGCGGCGCTGTTGTTCATGGACGAAACGGCTCATGAAGCCGTAGCGCTTGCGAGCATCGATCTCTGTGTCCCGTACCCTCCTATATGCTCCTCTCCTTGTGCAGTGTCCTTAGCTGGCATTGAGAGAAAGGAAGAAATCGATGGGGCAATTGCTGACGAGGAACTGGAACGTCTATTGCTGGAAGTGGGACTGTCAAGCTCTCCAATTTTCGATACTGAAGTAAGTGCTCCAGGTCCTGCAGCTGTCACTTGTCTGGGAGCAAACGAGTCCATGACTTTAATTGCAAGTGACCAGACCAAACCTCAACCGAGCACAGACAAGGGGCTTTATAGTCGCAAACTAGATGGATCTGGATATCAAGCTCTCAGCGGAAAAGTCAATAAACGAGTAAGGATAAACCCGAATCGAGCGCGTGATAATCGGAAGAATGAACTCGCCTATTTACGGAACAAAGTCAAACAGATGAAAGACCAGCTTCTCTTTCTCCGTCGACAGTCTACTGACAGCAAGAATGTGGTCGTGACGAAGACAGCCGCAAAAGTGACTGTTGATTCACCAATTGGAATACCACCTGTTTGGCGTGACATGGCGTTAACTCAGCAGCAACGACGAGAGAAGGCAGAGCGTGAAAACGCGCGGTTAAAGCTCGTGTTGGAGAGTCAGTTAAAGCTAGCAAAGAGCATGGAAGTGGTAATGCAGAGACGAACGCGACAACAGCTGGCCGGCTTCAATGGTATCGATGACGAGGCTCTTAGTTGTGCACAGGGCTCCACGTGGGACCTACTTTTAGACAAAGACACGTTCGATACTTTGCTAGCTCGTGCAGAAGCAGCGTATCATGAGGTGGATGAAATTCTTGCTGCAAATGGACTCAAGTACATGAAGACCTCGTGCGCTAACGCTCAGCTACGTGGAGGTATCGAGGGTATGTATGTTGACATATATACCAACAAGATGCTGCCATTTGACTTTAATACGGCAGCTGAAGCGGTCTGGACTCATTTTCGAGGCAGTGAGAAACACCGCGGTAATTTGTATGAAAATTTCTCGAAGGTACGCCGTTTTTGACTTTGTTGAGTGTACAACTTACTGACTAGTACGTCATCTCGAATGCCTATGAATAGGACGTTGAATCGTCTTCTGACACAGTGGCCGAAATGTTCGCCATTGAATTTATGGCAAATGACTTGGCTGCTGATTTTCGCGTGAAGCAGGTCGTCCGGCGCTACGTTGAGGATGATCGGCAAGTCGTCGTATGGGTCTCCACTGCATCGGCACTTGAGAACTCGAAGTCGCCTTTTTCCAGCTTCGGGTTCCGTGAAAAGGGGTTTGTCATCAGTAAGCGCGTTCGAGGCTGTGATGACTTCTCGATGTTCCAGACGTGTTGCTTGGTGTCGCCAGAGATGTCCGGAGGTGGGTCGTTTGATCTGTCTACAGTTGGCACCTTCACCGAGTTCGTGCTAGGCTTTATGTTTGCCACCATTACATCCAGCCAGCAACTTATCGAGAGCATGCTGATGGACCAATCGTTAAATTTGAAGCGAGAGGCGTCATCGTGCACTTGACAAGACAATCGTTCGATACAAGGCTCAGTAGGAAGCAAACATGCTGGCTTGTATATTTGTAAATGGGAATTGATAATTTTACACCCCTTCTCTTTAATTTACACCCTTCCTTAAAAGTCAATATTTGCATTTTAATATCTGACATCGGGTATCGTTAGGTTTAAATTCAATTTATTGTGTATTACTTTCCACGTAAATAATAGAATTATATGACAACATCGATATTCAGGTCTCCCCATACTAACTTTTAGCCTTGGTGAACACATTTCCTATATGTTAGCAGAGGTTATTAGCTGGCGAATTATGGTGGCGTCCTACATAAAAAAAATATTGCCAATTACATTACATAAAATAAGAGCAAAAGGAAATTGTTTTACATACTTGCCAGATACACTACAGACAGTCAATTAGTAAAGGATCAAAACGTGATAAGTTCATCTAAAACCACCCACTCCACTTCTATAACTGAAATAAACTCTATCCAAACTCAGCAGATTAATAGCCTTATAGACCACCCATAAAGGTACTCACCTTTTTGTATAATTTGCTCAGGTTGTCTCCCAAGTTCAATGACACTTAGTCATCCTTGTCGTTTGCTGGGGTTATTGTTCCTCGTTAGGAATATGTAATTTTTGGCTAACTCTCCTTTGATGAGCTAATTAAATCTATTGGAGAGAACGAGAGAGCCCAGCCAGAGCTTATTGACCAAGAGATTCTGTACGCAGTGTAGGAGTAGGAGGAATGAAAGAAGGAGCTGAAATAAAGGAGTAGATAATAACAAAAATATTGACCAAGCGCGAGCGGACTCCAATCTTGGATAGTGCTGGAAACACCACCTCTTGATTTGACGTTGGTGATGTAGTTGAAGATGCAGTGGAAGTTGATGATAAAGAAATGCGTCAATCCGCAAACCTAGCGCTGCGTCCTACCTTTGTAACCACATGCTCATGTGCATGGGGGAATGTAATGTACTCTCCAATGCATATGAGAACATAGGCTACTTGGGTGGGACGTTGTATTGGGACGTTCTATCTTTTGACGTTGTTTTTAGTGCTCACTACGTTAGCTAGTACTAGCAACGTGCATTAGCTGTATTAGAAATCCCACTGATACGTGCACACGCTACCCCGCAGCCTATGTGATGACATTCGCCGTTTCTACGCCACACAGACCACCGTCGATGCTTGTCATGAATAGATTTACTCCCCTACATTTGGTACAAATTCTGCATTTAGAAAATGATATTTGGCTTTATGGCTAATAATTACAAGCTAAAAGCTAGCGCCCATCGAACATCCACAGAACGACCGCGGTAAACGTCTAATCCTATAAAATAGCAAGGATTATTAGTTACCGGAGGTAAATTTATCAGAGGAAGCGCTGTAAACAAAGTGGTTTCCATTAGTTGAACACAGTTTGGGGGAACAATCTAAAATACACTATATTTTTTGTTCCGTTCCGCAGATACATGTTGCTGCTTAGTTTTCAGGACATTTCTCGATTTTTAACGAAGATTTCTGCACTAAATGAGAGACCGACAGTATTTTATTCACACGGTTGCACCTTTCAAGCTGCCTGCATGTATAACAGTGCACGATTCCGCCCAAAAAGAGAACAAGCAAATATCAAGAATTCGCAATGAACGATTTTATGCTCACACCTGCAGCTTTCAACCAGTGTTTTCGAGTGCATTCAAGAGAAATCTCGATAGTGCGTTTGTTCAGCGGCCCCACCGCGAGAGTTGTCCAAGCTGAGCACGATGACGTACAAGGGAGTTACTAATGCAGCATGGCGTTATAGCTACTTTTTGCCTCCACTTTTTAACTTCCAATATTTTAATTTTTTCCAGACCGACTGTGAGCGGTTTATGGGAGTACCAGACGGACATTGTATGAGGTCGAAGAAAGTATCCATAACTGTTGTCGTTATGGGATAAGTCGAATCTCATGTTATAGAGGATTAAAACGAAAGAAGAATTGTATATGGTATGTTCTATTAATAAGTAGACTTCATAGCGATGACGTCGCTTTTTTACCTACTTATGACCAAACCTTTCAACATTACACAAACAGGCAAGTATTCACTCCTAAATAGTTCCGTATATTGTAAAAAAAAACTTTAATTACCAAAGCCGTTCCATACGGCCCTAAAATGTGCACTCCTGTAAAGAGAAATACAAAATCGGAGAAGCAATGGTACGGAAAATAGTATGCAAACAATTCCGGTTGTTATACGTAGAGAAACAGGATGAGGAAAAGGGGTGAAATTACCTGGGGTTGACAAGAGGGTGCGATTATCAGGTTTAAGAGGAAAGGTGTGAGAATCAAGTTTGACAAAGGGTGTGGACTCAAACGAGAGAGATGTGGGTGCACAAAACCCTTGTAAATTTCTGAGCTGCTGGTTAAGAATTTAGTGGGTTGCGGTCTACAATCGCTTTCTTACGATGCTTGTCCGGTGAGCGCCTCTCTCTCGGTTTTTTTTTGTAGAGACTATCTTATCGCTGCGATGAGCAACTTCAAGCAAGGCCTTCAAGGTGACATGATAATTCAGAAGGCCGTTCCTGACATCTATGTTTGCTGTAACTCCAGACTCGAAATGCGGTAGCTTGTCCGCGTCCACGCTATAAGCTTTCATTTTGTGCAGAAAAAGAACAAAATTAATGATTGACATGTTAGGAGAATTACTATCAACTACAAGCAGCATGGAAATTGAACGACTCAATCACTTTATCGGATATCATAACCTTATTTAAATATAGTATGGATAAATGATGGTGTTCGTTGCAGCGCACTCAACATCTTGTAAGCTTAAACGTAGTTGCGACATATTGCAATCTTGCAACAGTTTACTTACCAGTGTCAAGACGAGTGCATGCACAATTTTATGCGCGTGAGAGATACCGTCACGCAGCTTGTAACGATCGGTGGTCTTACACGGCTGGCCACCATTACCGCACAAGGATACATGCATCCACTATATCCCACCGAACGTTTGTTATATCTCATTTTTTAGCACCAACCACTTTATCGGTAAAGACCCCCTTTCAGAAATATAGAGATAAACGGACATTCTTATTGCAAGCAACAAGGTAAGTTCCGGTCCCAAAAAAGAAAAATGGAAGCTAGTGGTCAATCCGAACGAAAAAGCTGAATGCAGAATTAAGTCGAGCAGTCAGAAGTGTCAAGAATTGGTGACGTGCCTAGTGTACCTAGAAGCCTGTCGACCTATGTGCTGCATAATTGACTACCACCCACAGGTATTTTCAAAGATTGACTCTTAACCCCAGCCCGTCACACAAACATGAACATTAGATACTGTCACTAAGTGGTTGTGTGTGTCAATGTATGTATTTGTGCGCAGTGCAAAGACGACGGAGAATGAAAAAAGGAAAAATTTAAATGCTGGACACTTAAATGCAGCACAAATCTCACGCGCATCACAAATAAGCAGTTGCAGAACCAACGCCACCATCGGCTAACAAAGCCGTGACTTTACCAGTAGCAGTCGGCTTAAAGTATGCTGCCTTTAATACGTTAGGGATTTCACAGTCGCCAAACAATTACCGACGCCGTCTGAATAGCACAGTGCATCTAGCTTTTGCATCTGTTCTTTGATCTCGACCGCTCCTAAAAGCTCCTCAAAAAAATGTAGCATCAGGCATGTTGGCTGATTGAAACAGCCTCCTCCTTTATGTGGCACCTAATACGTTTGTCGTTTTATTTGATATGTAGTCAGAGTAAATTTTTTAAGATACGAAGAAGTTATAAACAGAATTTTGATGCATACTTCAGATCTTGATGTCTACAAAAAGTAAACAAACTACTTTTAGATTTTTACTGAAGGGGATTCTTTTTAGGCTAACTAAACAAGTGGATAGTAGCCGCAAATTAGTGGATAGTCTAACAGCGTGAGAACAACCACACCAAACGTGGAATTAGTTAGGGAATTATGCTTGTATAGAAGTCATTAAATAAATAGAAAAGCAATTAAAAATGATCTGATGTAAAAATCTGAACCAGTCGCCGGGCGAAGTGAACCAGTCTAAGGGTGAACAGTCGCAGCCCGCGACAAAGGAGTCAGCAATTTCGCCAAAAATGGCTCCTGCACAACGACAAATATGGCGGTAAATCCGAACAGCGATACTGCAGAAGATGAAAAGCCTGAAGACTAGGCACCCCGGCAAGAATGACTGATGTGGTCGCCGAGGAGAGGCCGCTGCCAACGGTACTGATTCCACTTATACCTGCACCTATTGAGTGTAGCTACGCAAGCCGGTGAGAGCACGGACCAATAATACCAAGAATGTCACGAATAGTGGACAGGGGCTTAAAGGCAGAATCTGAAAGACCAGCTAGCAGATACTGTAGCAGCTACTACACAGATAGCTAGTTTATTACTTCCTGGTGTTTTATGCACGTCGATCGACCAAAGATGGTTAGTAATTGAGGCGGCTTCTGAGCATCGATTATAGGCATTCTAAATCGCTTGATGTATAGTTAATCAAACTAAAAGGAATCGAAAAACAACAGTGGAAGGAGCTTACCTCGCAGTGCCTCGTCAGTGGTGCAACTGCTTGTGTAATTAGCAGATGTGTCAATTTATGCAGACAAAGATTGTGATTGTGCTGACTAGGATTCGTTTGTCAATGGAAAAGCAGTTTCGGTTGCCCGATCGACACGGTCACAAGTTAGTTAGCAGCTCGTACCAGTAATCAACAAAGCACTGCGGCAAGGACACGCTCTGTTTTCTATAGAAGTCCGTATTGAGTCAAGCGGAAAATTTGACATGGGTCCAACGAGCATAATTACCCGAGAGAAGGCAGGTGGAGCAGATGGGGCAAAAGGATGGAATGGTACCTGCATCGATAAAGCTGTAATATAGATGTATCGTTTCGGCCTCGCGACGACGATATGGAAGTGGTGATGCTAGGATGGATAAAGGGCGACCAGCAGCTGAAGGTATAAAGTTTGTGATTCTTCTTACAGCAAAATTACGGTATGCTGTCGTATTAGATAGAAAATCGCTCAAGACTACGGGAGAATTCATTGGCTTAAGCTGTAGGTCCAATGAGGACTTATAAGTGCAATCCGATTATATGAACAGAATATTATTTTCATTGCCACGTCACAGCGGTATCTCACCATCTCAATATTGTCACATCTGACAATGAAAGCGTTTACTACCCAACTCCATAAAGCTGTAGATACTTTACATGATTCGTAGATTCTGCCTTAAAACAAGGTGAAGACTTAAGCACGCGGCACAGATTTAAACCATGTATGGGCACACTTTGGAAACCCCACATCGCAGCGAGACGACAAGTAGGTATACGCATAATGCCCGCTTTTGCAGTGCTTTCCACGTCATGTGACGGATATACGTCTCTTGCAGTTGTCGCCACTGCTGCTGCTCCGACAAACCTAAGGCAAATGAAATATTTATACAAGGGAGTGAAGATAGAGTTGAAATAACTACGATCAATTTATGAATGGCCACGTAAAGAACATTTTAAATCAGATAGAAGTTGAGTCTAAAAACCTTAGGTGCGTAGATGGAATTGTGAATGCCGAAAGCCATAATTCTGGATTATTAGTGTCTTTGTTGAACGTTTTACGGGTGATATGCAGTATTTCATTAAATTTCCGCAGCGAGAAGAAATATGCATCACGAGAAGCTGAAAGAGTCTGCTGGACTAGATTAAGGTTCGTAGTATCTTGCTACCTGTCGTAAAATCACCCGGTAACGTAGAAGTTAGGATTAAGAAAATAGAGTTGGGATGGTCTTGGGTACTATGTAGGTAGACTTGAAGGGTCGGTATTCAAATTTGGTGACAGCTTATTCAGATTCATGTAAACTTGCTGGTAGCATTGACGCTTGGAGCGGCCACTCTAATCGGATCATTCAAAAGTGAAGAATGCATATGAATGGGCGGCATGAGTGGCGTGCAGGTGTCGTGGGGCTCATGCGATCCAGACATATACTTCCAAAATGACTCGATGTTCTGCTTATATTTAACTGCTCAATCCGATGTTGTTGCTTCTCTTTCCGGAAAGCCTTGCTGCTAGCAAATTTTATTTTGGCCTAACAACTCAACTTACTGTGGCAATACGATTTACAAAAGATGCATGATTCCTCTTTGCTTCTGTACAGGCCACTTCTTCTACTACCACAAATCTTCTAAAACTATTCTGCAATTTGTTAGAGGATAAAGCATTAGGAGTATGCAAGGCCATAAGTACGCAAAACAGGGAGGACTATCCATAGATTTAGAAAGAATCTACATTCATCACTTTGCATACATTGATCAGGACACAAGAACTCGAAGAAAGCGTCACTCTGCAGAAATTAGGTGGTCAGTAAGGAAGGGACATACGTCACCTTAACCACTAGAATAAATTAGCAAAAAAGGAATCAGTAGAAAATTTGTGAATCGAGGTAATACTATGGCTTTGAGTGGACAGGCTTATACCAGGTTTCAGGCCGCTAGGTACGTACGGCCTAGTACAGGAGTAATTACAGCGTAAAAAGTAAAAAAGGATAAGTCTGACGTCATTGGAGGACGTCACAGTCTGACGTCATCAGCTGACGTCATTAGATGACGTCATTAAAGAAGCTTCTAGAAGCTTCCAGAAGGGTAGGCTTAGAATAGCACAGGGTAGCGAACTAAGGACCTACATTAATTCAGTTTCCAATTTACCTAGTGAACGAGAAGTCATCACATCTGGCAGCACTTGTTGGTCTCGCCGTCTGCCGTCCCCGCCGTCTGCCGTCCCTGCCGTCCTGCCGTCCCCGCCGTCTGCCGTCCCCGCCGTCTGCCGTCCCCGCCGTCTCTGCCGTCGTAACCGTCGTAGCCGTAGTAACCGTCGTAGTCGTCGTCGTCGCTCAAGAGCAGTGATCTGGAGAATCCATCGTAAGTCCCAATCTTTTTTTGGCAGGGACTCCTTTTCATTGGCTGTAAATCCTACCGGGCCATATTCACTGCTACCGTTATCGAGGTCGTGGTCTTATTGACTATAAATCGACTCGTTTCGGGAATGAGTCAGTTTGGTTAACGGAAGGTTAGTACTTCGGTTCATGACCCGCTACCCGCACAAGCAACCTACGCCACTCGACATTAACGACTCGCTAGCACAGATATCCGTGACAAAGCCGGACGCAGCCTACAAGTGCCGTGCGGACCTACTGGAAGCAATCCGTCGCACCAGACGCATTCTTGTCCGCTTCGAGAAGCAATTGGACACGGCTCAGCGCTCCGACTTGCGCAAACACATCAAGACTCGGCTTGTGGCGCACGCTAGCGGTTTGCTCAGCTTTGAGAGCACTGTGAGCCTGCGCATCTCACGCGAGATTTCCAAGCACACAAGCAAAACCGCCCGAGTCCCGTATTCTGGACCACCAGGGTACAAGGTCGTGCTCGTTCGTCAACAACCGACTGCCAAGTCAACTAAGTCCTGGAAGCCCGGATCAAAGGTTATCAAGAAAAGTACCAAGACCATAGCTCCGCCAAGTACAATTAACTAATCGTTAATATCAGTTAGTTCTGTACCGTTACATAATGTCCACCCCAATGACGTCCGATCAGCATGCACAACTGCTGCAATCGATGGTTGCGACAATGGAGAAACAATCGCTGTTGCTAGAGCAGTTTCAAAGGTCCACACAATTATCGGAAATAAAGCTTGAAGGTGTAAAGCTTCCGACGTATGGTGGCAGATTGGACGAATCGTTCCTTCTCTACAAGGAGCAAGTAGAGCAATACTTCTTCGCAAAAGGAGTGAACTGGAAGTGTCATGAGCTCTCTCTCCGCAGACTAGCCATTTTGGGGGGCACACTAAAGCACGGAGCTGCTCAGTGGTATGTCATGCAAAAGCATTACATCACAACCGTGGACGACTTCTTCTTCAAGATAGAACGGGAGTTCGTTCCAGCTGATCTACAAGAGCGTCTGCGGGAAGAAATGAATGATGTGAGAGAGCGCGATTGCAAGGACCTCTCTGACTATGTAGGCAAGTTTCGCCACGTGGTAACTCAAGTCCAAGACATGAGCGAACTGGACAGGATTATGTACTTCCTACGCGGACTTTCTGGTCGTACGCGAGAAGAAATCCAGTACCGTCGCTGTACAACGTTGTCAGACTCTATTTCTGTTGCGTTAGACTTTGACCGTTCTCATCCGACGAGGTATTCCTGGGGCAGGTCACAGGATAAACCTAGGTACCGGTCATACGACAATAATCGTCGATATCAATCCAACACTGGCCCAGAGCCAATGGACGTTAGCACTGTGCAGATTCCTTCTCGGGACGAATTTCGTCGACGAAATTTGTGTTTCAAATGCGGTAGTCCGAATCATCGCTCCGCACAGTGTCATCAGCGCCCCACACGTTCTGTTCGAGAAAACACTAATGCTGGACGGAACTATCAACATCAGGTACATCGTCAGCATGTAAACAATGTGGACAGTCGTGAGGACGACCAGGACACAAGTGTTTACGACCGAGTCACGATCAATTCAGTGGAGGTACAAAAGGATTCTGAGGTACCATTCATTGCCATCCACTCAAGTAGCTCGGGGGCGGACATACCAGCGCACAGTCGACTACTCGTTCGTGATGGTGTTATTGGTAATAAACCCGTCAAGATTTTGATTGACTCTGGAGCGTCAACGAATCTGATCAAACCCGGTCTGGCGTCCACAGTTCTCCGCGAACAGATGGTACAAACACGACGTTTTGATGGTACCTGGACATCAAGTCAACCCACAAAGCAGGTGGAAGATACCATTTTAATCGACGGTATGGAGTTCCCTAAGATGCAGTTTACAGAATGGGATCTACCGGATACACATGACTTGATATTTGGTCAACCATGGTTTACCATGTACAACCCCCAGATCAACTGGCGTACACAACAAATTGTAGTTGCAGCACACACGACGTTTAAAGACGTGGACGGGCCGACACTTCATGCGAAGATGACTTGCGGAGCCTACGAGGAAATATATCAATTAAAGGTTACCACCATAGACCATCAGGAGATACCGCAAGAGCTACAGCCAGTGCTAGACGAGTACAAGGACGTATTCCCCGACCAACTTCCAGAGGTAATGCCTCCAACGCGATCGGTCAACTTTGAGCTACAACTGAAGCCTGATGCGGTGCCGAGCTCTCGGGCCCCCTTCCGTCTATCGAAAGTGGAGCAGGAGGCGCTCTAACAATTTGTGGAGGAGAATATACGGAAAGGATGGATCGAGGTGTCCAACTCTCCATGGGTTTCAAACATATTTGGGATTCCAAAAAAGGATCCTGTAACCGGGCGGTTCCCTAAACGCGCAGAATGGCTCCGCAGCGGAAATTCCAAGATCCCCATTAGATGGGTCATTGACTACCGATATGTTAATAGCATGTCTGTCGTGGCAAAAATTCCTTTGCCGTTGATCGAGGAACTGTTCGACCGCATGGTGGGATGTAAGTTTTTTACGCTTCTTGATCTTGCGCAAGGGTACCCTCAAATGGTAGTCGTACCATCAAGTAGACCCTATACGGCTTTTCGCACCCATAAGGAAACGTATCAATGGTTTGTAGCACCCATGGGTTTATCTGGAATGCCTGGTGTCTGGTCGCGGCTTATGCAAACGTTGTTCGACCATTTCGGAACCTTTGTCGTGGTGTATCTTGACGACATATGTATCTTCTCCCGTACAATGGAGGACCACGTCGGCCACGTTCGCGCAGTATGCGCCGTGTTACGCAAGGAGAAGCTTTATGCTCGACTCTCCAAATGTGCGTTTCGTCGTAACGAGATTGCATTTTTAGGGCATATGGTTTCCGACGAAGGTCTGCAGGTCGACCCAAAGAAGACCGATGCTATTGCTCAGTTTCAAGCTCCGACGTGTCGCAAGGAGCTGCTGAGTTTTCTCGGGCTGGCTGGGTATTACCGTCGCTTCATCTGCGATTTTGCCAAGCTTTCACGTCCTCTTCGAGCATTAACCAAACACGAGACTCGCTGGAGCTGGGGGGAGGATCAACAGCGATCATTTAACGCGTTAAAACTCGCACTTCAGCAGGGTCCGACGCTAAAGCTGCCAGACTTTACGCACCCTTTTCTTGTCACTACGGATGCGTCTGGGTTCTGCATGGGCGATGTCCTCTCTCAGCGCATCAATAATAGCGACCACGCCATCGCATTTTACTCGAAACATCTGGACCCCCACGAATTAAAATGGCCCGCTCATGAAAAAGAGCTGCTAGCAATCAAGACTTCTTTAAAACATGGCGCCAGTATCTCCACGGACAACACTTTTCAGTCTACACCGACAATTCAGCGTGCAAATCGATGCTCCACCATCCTAAAGTGTCGCCCAAGATGGCACGCATGCTGACGTTCTTTTCCCAGTTCGACTTTGTCTTACATCATGTTAAAGGACGGTCCAACGTCGTGGCCGATGCATTATCTCGACCGGCCGTATCCGAAGATCCCTCCAGCGTGGCGCTGTGCCTACGTGCCCAGTTCCCGATCTGTCGCACGTCGTACATGAATGTGCGGATGCTTGTGCCCTCAACTCTCACCTTTTGCAGCAACACATGGTTCACTCCGCTCTCATGCGGTCCATTCCGCTCGACGTCGCACACCTCTTACTTGACGATGTGGAGTTGCGGGGGGAGTCTCGTCCGATAGGAATCGCTCAGGAGCAAATCCACAACGCTGCGTTTCACGTGGTGCGCGCACATCTCAGTGACAAAGTGCGAAAAACTATTCAGCAAGGATATCACACAGACAAGTTTTTCCAAAAGATCTGGAGAACTCAACAATCGAAGGACAACTTCATAATCGACAAAGGACTCATATATGTCAAACAAGACGAGGCAATGCAACAGATATGCATCCCAGACATACCAGAAATGAAGTCGAAGATTCTATACGAGTTTCACGATGCAGCCACAGCGGCACATCCAGGAGTGCGCCGAACTTACATAAAGCTAAAGCAATGGTACTACTGGCCGAAGATACTTGAAACCGTGCAGAAGTACGTGGAGACATGTGAAACATGCGCGCGATGGAAGTCTAACAGCCAACGGAAGAAAGGATTAATGATTCCTATTTCCGTTCCGGAGGAATGCTGGGAAGTAGTATCAATGGACTTCATTACTGGGCTACCCGTGTCGAAAGGCTATGATGCTATTTGCGACGTCGTAGACAAGTTGTCAAAGAGGCCGATTTATGCACCGACATATACGACTGCCGATTCGAAAGACACCGCAGATCTATTTTTCGACGCTGTAGTCCGACATCATGGATTGCCGAAGATTATTATCAGCGATCGGGATCCAAAGTTCACGGCGAACTTCTGGAATCACTGATGAATATAATGGGTGTCAAGCTAAGCATGACGACCGCTCATAGAGCGCAATCAGATGGGCAAACGGAGCGCCAAAACTTGGTGTTGGAAGACGCTTTACGCTGCCTGGTATCGTACAGTGGCGACAATTGGTTCAAACTACTGGGTACTGTAGAGTACGCGCACGCTACATCGGTGAACACATCTTCTAAGCTCACCACGTTCGAAATCGATACTGGGAGAAAGGTATCGAATCTGATTTCGCATGAATAAGGAGGCCACGCTGATCTGAATTCCAATTCAATTTCAGAATTTGCCTCCAAGTTTGCCAACGATCGTCAAAAACTAGTACGCAAGGCACGCGAAAACCTGGAACAAGCCCAGGAAAGGCAAAAGAAGCACTACGACTCGAAAAGAAGAAGCGTTACTTTCAAAGTAGGTTACTTAGTTCTGTTGGATGCCAAGAATCTACCGCTTAGAACAGTGAACGCTCACGTGGATCTAAAGAAAGCGAAGCTGGCAGCAAAAAAAGTGGGACCGTTTGAGATAACCAGGATGGTCAATCCGAACGTAGCCAAGTTAAAGCTACCACGACATATGAAGAGACTGCACTCCTCATCTAACATTGACCTACTCTTCCCATATAAGCCAAATGCCTCCGAGTTCGCTGGACGACCAATTCCGAAAGCAGCACCAGTTATATTAGAGCCAGACACCGGAGAGCAACTACACATTGTAGAAAGCTTGCTTAGTCGTCGTCAGCGCAATCGCCAAAAAGAATGGCTAGTCAAATGGCATGGCCTCCCGGAGTGTGACAGTACTTGGGAGCGCGAGAGATCCATCCGCCACGTTTCGCATTGGCGGCAACTAGTCCAATATTTTCGAGACGGCCAACGCGAATTCAAGTCCAGGGAGATGTCAGGCCGCTAGGTACGTACGGCCTAGTACAGGAGTAATTACAGCGTAAAAAGTAAAAAAGGATAAGTCTGACGTCATTGGAGGACGTCACAGTCTGACGTCATCAGCTGACGTCATTAGATGACGTCATTAAAGAAGCTTCTAGAAGTTTCCAGAAGGGTAGGCTTAGAATAGCACAGGGTAGCGAACTAAGGACCTACATTAATTCAGTTTCCAATTTACCTAGTGAACGAGAAATCATCAAACCAGGCCTCAAAAGTTAATGGATTTGGCAAAAACCCTTACTGATGTCCATGAACTGAAGGTCAGAGCCATTCACAAATCAAGTGGCAGAAATAGAGCAATATCCCGCATATTCACACAGTTTGAATTGCGAACCGGCCTGCACCACTAGTACCGGCGCCATTCACGTCGTCATTGACTCGATAGTATGTCGAAGAAGCATGCCACGCCCCTTCAGCATACTCATTGCGTGGAATTTGGACTGATGGTCGCCGAGGGGGGCAACAAACACGTAACGTCGGTGCGCTGCAGCTTCTACGCCTTTTTCGGCCGAACTCAAGTCAAGGCTGGTCACGAGCACGCAGGCAAAAAGCGCCAGCGGCTCTCGAAACGACACCACGTACTGGACGTCATTCGCGCCGCAGAACTACCGCAGTCACCACGAAACGCAGTACGCGAATCTGTGGGTCGAGTACAGAGAGCTGCACAATGGAGAAAAGAGCGAATATTTCGATAAGAATGCGACTTACGCCAAAATTCTGCACCAGCACCTTGACTTCGCATCTGACTTGATAATGTTCGGTGTATCGGCGTTCATCGTTGACGTCATTATCGCCGACCTGCTCTTTTGGCCCAACGAGATGCTCGCCGACTTTTCCGACGACGGAGACGAGGACAATAGCTGCGCGGTTGCTACGATTGCCATAAAGGCTGCCGCCAAGGCCAAGCTGTTCGTCAAGGACAAGTCGAACGTGTACAACTATTTAATTACTATAAAGGGCACGATGCGATACAATTTGCCCATGACTCATGACTCGATGGAATGTCGTTCCGTCAGGTGGCATCCGCGATGCAGTACACCAAGGAGCGCTGCGACCTGTCCAAGCTGGGCAGCATACAAATTCCTATAGTCGGCCTGTACTTATGCGCTGTCATCGCATTTGCCCTGCAGCGCATTGCCGATCTGTGCTTCGACGAGTCGGTCTATGCGCTGTCACTTGACGGTGACGGCATTACCCAATGCGTCCAGCACTTCTTCGACCGGCTTTTGCGCGTGTTCTACCGCGGCGTTATGCCAAACCTTCACCTCGTGGCCGTCCTCCAATTTGGACGCCACATGCCGCTCAACCATTTCAAAATACTACTGAAGTTCCTGGACGCGCTGTACGGCATCTGGCGCCGCAAGCCGATCAACGTCGGCACAGAAGGCGAAGCGGCTATGGTCAGGCGACTCAACGGCCTGGTGGCGCGCATGTCCTGCGAGGCCGAGCACCACATCCTGCGCATCTGGTGCCCGCCGCACCAGATAGACGTTGTCGTCAAGGACGGCGCCAAAATGGTTTACGACGGGGAGTGGTCAAACCAGACGTGGTCGCTGCCGGTCTGTCTGCGCTCGAAGGCAAATATGATCACGAGCATGAACGCCGAATGCTCCAAGAAGACGAATTCGTGGGTTAGCCTCGGCGTGCTGCTTGAATTTATAAGGCAGTACCGCCGCATAATCATTAAGCGCGTGACGGCCAATGCCAGCTACAAGCTGCCGTCGGCTCAATAAAGGGTCACTGCTCACGCGATCGCGCCCTCTTTCGAAGAGATCATTAAGACGTTTTTGCCATGCCGCAGAGCCGGTCTGCTGATCCCACATCAAGAATCGCTCATCTATACGCTCGTCGCCACTCTGTTCGCGATGTTCGGCATCGTCTTCGACGACGATGTAGACACCGACAACAACGACGACGAGTTCGAGACGTTCGAGCAGTGGAGTATCGATCGGGCCAAACTCATCCGCTAAGACAAGGATCAGCGCTCCTTTTCCAAGTCATGGACGAGAGCCTGGATGCGCCCGCATGGAAGGAGGTAATCAGCCAGCTTGCCAAGTACGCCATGTTCGTCGTCACCGAGCAAGATCCGTGCTGAGCGCGACGAAAAAATTGCACAGCTCCAGCAAGACGCCTCGCCTGTTCTGCCTGCCCGGATTTTCGAGCTGCGACACGGCGAATTCATTGAGCGCGTGCTTGACCCGTACTGCGTTCCCCTGTCTAAATCCGGTCCGAGGAATGCATCGACCAGGTCGAAGAGGATCATCGGTACTTGCACAAGATCTACAAAGAATACGCGGTGCTGCGCGCCGCTATGGGAAAGCAAGACGCGCAGGCTATGTTCAACGAAGCATATACGCGGTGCCCCAGGGATCGAGTTTCAAGCGCCGTTGTGCCCTTCTCGGCAGACTGGTCATCGCATTTGCCCACACGACGTCTGTCAAGTCGGACTTCTCCATTCACAAATGGAAATAGATGAGTTTTGTACCTGCTTGGTATGTCTTTCGTTGGATCATATCTCCCAGACAAACTGCACGCCATTCGGGAGGGCCTGGACCGTGCGTGAGTGAAATTCATAACCTAAGCATCAGTGTTTTCCCTAAACTAGCTTAGTTTATTTAATATACGGAGATCCGTAAGCTTACGAGGCACAGCTTATCATTGTACAGCCGTAGTGCATACAGTTTGTCGATTAAGTTCAAATTACATTTCCATGTCTACAGCGTACAAGTGAGATGTCTCCTGGGGAGAATGTCTTCTTAAGCAACCAGTGTGCATCGATATCCAGATAATTGAATTTACCTTGAACTACATTACCTCATATCATTAACTCCAAGAGAAAAGGTCATCATAAAAGCCCAAAATTGGACATACACTGAACATAACATTTCACAAAGTCAAAATCGTTTAACAAGGTAATCAAACTCTTTTAAAATTCCTTTCTGCTTCCAGGTACTGCCAATTCAATTTTTTTAGCGCTTAACTTGATTTATACTCAAATAATTGCAGATCATGCTTTTTGGAATGACCAAGAAATGTTTTGTCGCTTAGTCGCATAAGAGAATTTCTTTCACTTTGATGCAGCACACGGTCGACATCATTAGATAAACTATAAAAAATTCAGATAGGAAAGGTGCCCAAAAAAATTAAACTTGAGTGCGCGCTTTCAGCCTTGCACGAAGAAATCTGGACAAACTGCTTGACGTAAGTAAAACATGCGCCAACAAAAGTCGCTAATGTAAGCCAATCCAGCGGCTTCACATATACTCTGCACATAATTTCGATATACGAACTATCATTTCATTCCAGCCTTCAGCAAACAGCTCCTTCGTAATGGTATGTAAAAGGAAATTTATCCAATTTTCAAAAATGTCGCAATATCCACTGTGTTGAATCTTCAACTTCTACTGAAAAAAAATATCACTAGTGCTGGGCTTTGGAGTCCCATTGATATGCCAGTAGAAAAGCAAATATTTCACGTTCTTTAAAAATGCACTTTAAGCGTTCAACGGAGCGTGATTTATCTGCGACATTCACTCTGAGTGCAATTGTATGTCAGCTTCAACTAATGCGTGAAGAATCTATTTGAGGTCGTTCTCGGTAGCGGTATGCATATAGAAGTTTCCCAAAGCGTACGTGAAATATGTATCGTTCAAACTAATGACGTACAGCATGCCAGAGCTGTAACGGGGTGAATCGTTACATAACAATTTATAAGAAATTGTTAATAGAATATAACTATAAGAGTTATATTCTCAGAATATTGTCATAAGGACCAATAATCTGCAGCACTTACGAGTAGTTCCTAATTGGTTGATCTAGGCCATTGTATCAACCAACGAAGACACGCCACGACAGACGCACGCAATGCGAGGTGAGCAGATAGTTGATATGCACATTTGTACTTAGACATAGTTAGATGAGGATAAACAGTGGTTTATTGACAGACAATAACTATGCTAAATACAGTTCTACTTTTTACTTTAACCAAGTACTCGCTTCTTCTTACCTTCTTCCTCTGCACGTACGATTGTACGTAAAGTTCCGAGGCACCGCCTTATTCTGTCGTCAGAATAAGTAGCTTGTACTGTTACCAGTACAAGCTTCAGGGTGCCCCGTTACACCTGGTAGCACTTCGTAGTCCGTCCAAGGACCACGTTCACATCTAACATGAAAATGTTGGATGATGAAGATGACCAAAGCTTTCACGCTACGCGTGACGGCTACTGCCATCTGAGCGATGTCGAATGGGATGCGGTTGAACGGATGGGTTCAACCATAGGCATCCATGCTGTTAGCGTCAAGCTAGAGGCTCTCAATAGAGATGCCCAACATGCTACTATCGCCAAGTTCATTCAAAATGAACTTGACGCTGAACGCGAGAAAGTAGCCTTGCTTCACCAACAAGGTTCTCAACAAGCAGAGTTGTTGAAAGAACAGGGTGCTCAACAGTTTGAACTGTTGAGACAGCAGCATGATGCTGCTGGTGGGTCGATGCACTCGCGTCTACCCGAGACCTTGAAGATTGACATCTCCAAGTATAGGGGAGTCGAAGAGGACTCCCTCTTGAGATGGTTCGTCGAATTGGATGACGCCATAAGGGCGCGTCGCATCGACGATGGGGAAATGCAAGTTGCATTTGCCCAGTCAAATCTGGCAGTATGCCAAGACTTGGGCACTGAGGCTCAAGTTGCACGACCCATATGCGTTTGGGTCGTTGGAAGTCTTCAATTCGCAGCTCAGACAAACGTTTGAACCGCCTAGAGCTGAGTTCAGAGCTCGAACCGAGCTCTTGAAGCTCAAACAGGGTAAGCGTGATGTGCACGCTTACGCGCAACATATACGACATCTCACGAGTTGTATAAGTTCCAATCCGGTGGATGAACACACATTGGTTTCGGTGTTCTTGCAGGATCTTGCGGATGGTCCCGTCAAGACTCACCTGTTCCGGCTTGAACTAGATTCACTAGAACAAGCCATTTTCATTGCGGAGCAGGAAGACTTCAGTCTGAGACAGGCTCGCGCCAGCTCGACATCATATCGTCAACCGAGACGATATGACAACGGAGGTCCAGAGCCGATGGAACTCTGTTATGTAGAGAGCGAGAAGGCTCGCTCTACAGGCTACAAGAAGTTGCAGAGATGCAACAGATGTCAAAAGACAGGACACTACGCTCACGAGTGTAGTGCCCCTCGTCCAGTGTCTCGCAACACTGGGCGTAGTGACCGTCCACCCATGAGAAAGGGGCAGGGACGAGGGTCCGCTGTTGGTGCAAAGACGCAACAACGGGATGGACCGTAAAAAACGGACAGGGTCAGTAGGTGCGGAGCACCCTACTGGTCCAGCAACGTCAAGAGAATTTGTAGGCCTCTTGATGAAGGTTGCTCCCAACACACAAACGTTGTGCGTTGCTGCTCTAGGTAATGAGATCTAACTCATTACCTTGAAACTCGAAGTGACGAATAAGTTGTCCCTTCGAGCTCTAGTCGATTGTGGGGCGTCCAACAATTTTGTGCAACGCCAATCGCTAGAAGATGGTCACTTTAAGTTCAGTGAATGTGACACACCTCCTACGAGGATGACGGTACGTCTTGCGACAGGCGCATCCGTAACCGTCATGAAGCGTATAGTGAAAATCCACTATACGCTAGAAGATACCCAATATGACGATGACTTTATCGTATTGGATTTGGATGACAAATTTGATGTCATCCTAGGAATACCGTGGCTCAGAAGGTACGAACTACGGGTTAACTGGCAACATCGAACAGTAACGATGCCTGCCGCTTGTTCATCAGATGGCCATCTGATGAACGTTTTGGAGCGTCCACAAGCGTGTGGATGTACTACGAATGAGTGTGATGGACTCACTTGTGGTACGGTCGTTAGTACGACTGCACGAAACCTTAGTGTAACAAACGGTTACACTTCGGAGCAAGATTCGTGCGGCTGTGAGGAAACACAGGCTGCGCTGAAGGTCCACCACTCGAATAAGTCGAGTGGACCGGGACAAAGATGTATCCCTAGTGGGGAACATCTAGAAGAGAAACAATCGATCGCTCAGTATAAGCAAAACGATAATGCTAGATCGACTGGAGGGTCTTTTATAGAGGATCTTGCTGTGGTTGCGCAACCACAGCTAGAAGTAGTTGAGGGAATAAGTCCAGATATTACAAATACGGCGGAAATAAGTACCCCGAAACCCGAGGGAATAAGTCCCCGGGAAGCTGAAGGAATAAGTCCTTCGAAGCCTGAGGGAATAAGTCCCCAGGAAATGACAGAGACATTGAATGTCATAGTCAATGACGGATCAAGTGTAGGCGCTTACAAGCTTGATCTGATTGCGCCTCCGAAGTTGACTTCGGAGATCACTCAGTTGCCAACGCTCGAACATAAAAGGTTCTTGCGTGATCTGCGTAGTGGCAAAGTCAAGCAGATCTGCGTACTCGTCGCTGACGACGAGTGTGTAACCAACATAAGGTCAGCAACAGTGTTTACTGAGAACGAGAGAGTTCTCAGTAGTTCATCTATGGACGAGAGTGTCCTAGATGAAGAGACACGAATTGAGCGATATGACTCCCAATCGTGGGAATCGCTCAAGACAAATCCTCTCTATGAAGATTTGGTTGAATTCAAGGATGTATTCCCTGAAACTGTTCCGTGCGAATTACCAAAGGATAAAGGTATTCGACACGAGGTCGAGCTTAAACCAGGCTCGAAGTACTGTGTCGTGAAGCAGTGGCCACTGCCTCGTGAACAAGTACTTGCGATCGACAAGTTCTTTGCCGATCGTTTAGCTGCGGTCCATGTGAGGGAATCAACTTCCTCACATAGCTCTCCGACCTTCTGTGTGCGAAAAGCAACAGGAGGGTGGCGGATAGTGCACGCGTTCAACAAATTGAACGCTGCAACGGTACCGGTTCAGACGCCGATACCGAGGAAGTACGTAATCATTGATGGTATGTCAAAGATTACCATCTTTTCGTCCATGGATTTGATGGATGGCTTCTATCAAATCCTTATGCGGGAACGGGATATACCCTATACCGCAGTTAGCACGCCTAGCGGCATGCTCTGGGAATGGCTAGTAATGCCACAAGGGCTTAGTAATGCCCCTGCCACGTTCAACAGATGTGTATCACATCTGTTGAGACCAGTACGAGAATTCGCGCCGAGTTATTTCGGTGACGTATTCATCCATAGTCGAGCTATGGATGGAAAGTCGGACGTTGAGGTTCACACGTACCACGTCCGACAGGTTCTTACAATCATGCGAAAGCATCAATTGTATGCCAACCTCAAGAAGTGTATATTTGCAGCAAGCGAAATACCACTTCTTGGGTGCATCGTTGGTAAGAACGGTGTGCGTCCTGATCCCGAAAAGATCAAGGCGATCATCGACTGGCCTGTGCCGGTTGATGTCAAAGGTCTTCGAAAATTCCTTGGGCTAGCGGCGTATTGGCATAAGTATTCACGCAATTACGCTGAGATGACTGTTCATCTCTATCGTTTGTTGAAAAAGAACGAGAGGTGGTTATGGAACGCTGAATGTCAGCGCTCCTTTGATGGTATCAACCGGAGCTTGATACAATCCCCAGTCCTAGCAATTGCCGATCAGGACAGGCCATTTCATGTGGTCTGTGATGCCAGCGATTTTGCAATCGACTGTGCATTAATGCAGTACGATCTTGAAGGCGTTGAACGCGTCGTCTGCTATCAGTCGCGTCAGCTGCAACCAGCTGAGCGGAACTATCCAGTGCATGACAAGGAACCCCTTACCATGAAGTATGCACTCGCGAAGTTCAGAGTCTATCTATTAGGAGATAGACCCTTCATTGTTTACACTGACCATGCGTCATTACGCACGGCAGTGAACATCCCGCACCTTTCACAACGAAAGGCGCGGTGGTTGTCATTCTTTGCGGAATACAACTTTACGGTAGAGTACAAACCAGGACGACTTAATGTAGTCGCTGATGCACTCTCACGTCGTCCCGACTTTGAACCAGTCGCGAAACCCAACAGTGAGACAGTCACTGTTGCGGTTATGACGTCCACCATACCATCTTTAACGTTGCATGATGATGTAAGGCGGGCGTATGCCCAAGATGGTGAGATTGTGAAGTTGTTGACACATCTCTCACAACCATCCCGAGAATCGTTGAAACGATTGTCGCCTGCGTATCGATCTGCATCAGATCGATACACTACTCGTAACGGCCTACTGTATTATACAGCCGTTTCTGGTGACACACCACGTGTTGTCATTCCAGATGATACTGATCTGCGTTTGCGGATCATGTTCGAGTATCACGATGCTCCTATAGGAGGACATCGTGGCCGAGAGAAAACATATCTCACGGTAAGTCGAGACTTTTACTGGCCCCGCCAGTATCAGTTTGTGCGAAAGTATGTTCGCGCATGCGAAGTCTGCCAACGAGTGAAGTCAAGTCCTTCACTGCGTGCACCCTTACAGCCTCTATCGGTTCCGGCTGAGTGCTGGGAATTCATCTCAATGGATTTCGTCTTCGTTTTACCCATAGACGCACGCGGGAATACGGGTATTCTTGTATTTGTTGACAGATTCAGCAAAATGGTACACCTTGTGGCTGTACCCGAGACAATCACGGCTAGTGGCTGTGCTTGTGTCTTTATTGACACCATCTTCCGACTTCATGGGTTTCCCCGTGAACTCGTATCAGACAGAGATCCACGATGCACTGCTGGTTTCTGGCGTTCCATGTTCGAATCACTCGGAACGCGCTTGAAGATGTCTACATCTGATCATCCAGAGTCAGATGGTCAGACGGAACGTGCCAATCGTGTCCTTGAAGAGATAATTTGAGGATACGTACACTCCTTTAAGAGTTGGAGTGAGTTTTTGCCAATGGTAGAGTTTGCCATTAACAACTCGGTGCATGCGTCCACGACACATACACCGTTTAACATGAACGGCTTACGCTATCCGCGTGTACCCACCTTACTAGAGTGTAACTCTGGTTTAAGGGGGGGGAGGGACTCGCGCGAGCAAAAACCGAATTGGTTCACGCTCATCACGCTCTGACGAAGAGGTCATTGCGTTTGATGCCGATATCGATAACATCGATATCAAAGAAGATGATGCCAGTGAGAGTGCGGAAGCCCTCACTGAAGAAGATGATGCCAGTGAGAGTGCGGAAGCCCTCACTGAAGAAAAGGTTGATGTCGCTGCAGTGCACTCACAGCGCACTGAAGCTAACGAGTCATCAGATGAGTTCATACTGGCTCGTGAAACGGTAGTCCGTTTTGTGCAAGACTCCATCGCCGAAGCGGTGGATAAGCAAAAGCAAAACGCCGATAAGAATGGAATGGCAAACACTCTTTTATCAAATAAAGGTGACTCAGTCCTACTGTCTACGGTTAATCTACCAAAGCATGTAGTGACTAACTTGGGCAGCAGTAAACTACTACCCAAGTACATCGGCCCATTTCGTGTATTGCACCGCCTAGGCAATGCATACACGATCGAGTTACCACGTAAGATGCGAACACATCCCACGTTTTACGTTAGTCGGCTTAAGCCGTACCATCAGTACGCTGCTTCTTCCGATGAAGAACGCCCTTGCGCTCAAGCATCTCACAGAGAGCCTTGTGCTCCCGATGGTGGATATTAACAAGGACCTGAAGAGCAGCTATCTCAGCCCGAGACCGGTCAACAATCCCACGAGCTACCCTTAGCTCGTCACGAAGAGATGTCAGAGATCTCTCGTTCTCAAGCTGAGCAAAGGCAAACTCAGCTCGATGCTTCAAGACAGTGTCCGCCAGTTGAAGACGCCTGTTCCGCTCGTGCTCGATGTCGTCGCGTAACGCAGGTGTCACGCGATCAAATATGCTCTCAGAGACACACGCTCCCCCACGAGAGCTTAAAGAGCGTCTTTCCTCCTCATCCACCTCCATTAGAGGACTCTCGCGGTGGCCAGTGCTATCTGATTGAGCGGCTGTTGAACCACCGTGATGTGAACGGACGTCGGACGAGTTACCTCGTCCGGTGGTGCGGCTATCCCCCGTCCTGGGATACTTGGGAGCCCCGCTCCCAACTGATGGTTGACGTACTGGGTCTGGTCGAGCAGTACGACGCGGCACATCATGTGCCGCAGAAGGACCGCCGGAGAAAGTCTTCCCGGCACGGTCGTAAAGGGATTTCAGGTTGTCAATCCCTTCTTACATCTCAGTAGAGACACGTACGCGCCACCACGGGCTGGTAAGGAGGTAAGCCTCCTTAGGTGCGCGCGCAGAGTTGTTTACACAACAAGGGCATGGGTCTCCCCAGGAGAGACAGGGTAGCCCACCCTCCTTAGACAGACGATGCAGCTCTTAGCGTGCACCTGTCGGGGTTCTCTTTTCAAACTTATCACGAGCTTTGATAAGTTTGTCGTTCCAAGCGTCACGACCTACATCCTCGAGGTTATGGATGTAGGCGTTCCACGCTTAAAGCAGTGAGGGAACATCACGTTTGTGATTTCCACTGTACCATCGATGTTTAAAGAAAGCATCTATGAAGAATTCATTCTCAGCGCGATAGTTTTTCGCACTGGGGTCAAGGTGATGGATCCTTGACGAATCGAACAATCTTGTTCGATAGCGATCACTTGTCGTCGCCGACAAGCGTCCATGACTGACTTTGGGAGCATCCATGACTTCTTTTCGGGAGCGAGACGCAACACGTTGCGGTCCCGCTCTTCTTGCGACGTGCCGACAGAAGTACTGGCACCTCGCTGCGAAGTGGTGTCAATAGGAGAACCGACACCACTGTGAGCGCCCGAGTCTCGCGAACTCGAGCGCCTTCGCTTCGGCGATGGTTCATCTGATTCGTCCGACGAACCAAAGATGCTACGACGCGTAGCATCATATATGCCAAGCTTGGCAGGCGGCTTGGTTTCAACTGCCTTCAAAACAGATCCCTCTTCCGTATCAGGAGAGTATGAGACACCGAGCTCATACTAGGTGACGACACGAGTGTCTTCATGACGAGCGCCTGCATCACCAGGTGACACAGGCTGAGTCGCTTCAGCAACCGATGAGACATCAGTTACTGTGGTTTTTGCTTCGGCATCCGCACAGAGACGTGCGGACGCGCTCTCGGCGGCCTTGCTCGCGCACCACATGGGCTTGTTAACCATGCGATGAAATGTTGGGAAGTGGACTCGGACCAACAAGTGCAGACCCTGTCCCAAATGATTTGGGACGAGTTACCATTTAGTCAATCATTCACTAAAGTGAATGATGGTTAAGGGGGGGTGATGGGAGGGAGTGAATCGTTACATAACAATTTATAAGAAATTGTTAATAGAATATAACTATAAGAGTTATATTCCCAGAATATTGTCATAAGGACAATTATTCTGCAGCACTTACGAGTAGTTCCTAATTGGTTGATATAGGCCATTATATCAACCAACGAAGACGCGCCACGACAGTCGCACGCAATGAGTAATGAGCAGATAGTTGATATGCACATTTGTACTTAGACATAGTTAGATGAGGATAAACAGTGGTTTATTGCAGACATTAACTATGATAAATACAGTTCTAATTTTTACTTTAGCCACGTACTCGCTTCTTCTTACCGTCTTCCTCTGCACGTACCAGTGTACGTGAGGTTCCGAGGCACCGCCTTATTCTGTCGTCAGAATAAGTAGCTTGTACTGTCATCAGTACAAGCTTCAGGGTGCCCCGTTACAGTACCCAACGAAAATTTGCACCGTGGTGCTGCTTTTGCTAGTGTCGCTTCTGTTGTTGCTACTGCAATTGTTATTACAGTTGCTACTGCAGTTGCTGTTGCTTTTGTAGGTGGTGATACTGTAGATACTGTTGTAGTTGTTGTTAATGCTGTTGTGGGTCTCGCTACTTTTGGGGTAGTTATTGGTACTTCACTCCTGCTGCTGATAGTGTTGCTACTATCACTGTAGCCGCCGGTACTGCACTGCCACTGTTGTTGTGGTTGTTGTAGTTGTGGTATCGGGATTTGCTTCCTGTATATTCCCTGTACTTGTTTAAGCATATAAACCCATTTCAAAAGGCTAACATGAATCCATTCTTTTGTTATCGTTCATTTCATACAGTCGAATCCTTCCGGAATTCCTCTAACTGCAGTTGCTACTGCAGTTGCTGTTGCTTTTGTAGGTGGTGATACTGTAGATACTGTTGTAGTTGTTGTTAATGCTGTTGTGGGTCTCGCTACTTTTGGGGTAGTTATTGGTACTTCACTCCTGCTGCTGATAGTGTTGCTACTATCACTGTAGCCGCCGGTACTGCACTGCCACTGTTGTTGTGGTTGTTGTAGTTGTGGTATCGGGATTTGCTTCCTGTATATTCCCTGTACTTGTTTAAGCATATAAACCCATTTCAAAAGGCTAACATGAATCCATTCTTTTGTTATCGTTCATTTCATACAGTCGAATCCTTCCGGAATTCCTCTAACTGCAGTTGCTACTGCAGTTGCTGTTGCTTTTTTTAGGTGGTGATACTGTAGATACTGTTGTAGTTGTTGTTAATGCTGTTGTGGGTCTCGCTACTTTTGGGGTAGTTATTGGTACTTCACTCCTGCTGCTGATAGTGTTGCTACTATCACTGTAGCCGCCGGTACTGCACTGCCACTGTTGTTGTGGTTGTTGTAGTTGTGGTATCGGGATTTGCTTCCTGTATATTCCCTGTACTTGTTTAAGCATATAAACCCATTTCAAAAGACTAACATGAATCCATTCTTTTGCTCGTGGTGCTGCTTTTGCTAGTGTCGCTTCTGTTGTTGCTACTGCAATTGTTATTACAGTTGCTACTGCAGTTGCTGTTGCTTTTGTGGGTGGTGATACTGTAGATACTGTTGTAGTTGTTGTTAATGCTGTTGTGGGTCTCGCTACTTTTGGGGTAGTTATTGGTACTTCACTCCTGCTGCTGATAGTGTTGCTACTATCACTGTAGCCGCCGGTACTGCACTGCCACTGTTGTTGTGGTTGTTGTAGTTGTGGTATCGGGATTTGCTTCCTGTATATTCCCTGTACTTGTTTAAGCATATAAACCCATTTCAAAAGACTAACATGAATCCATTCTTTTGTTATCGTTCATTTCATACAGTCGAATCCTTCCGGAATTCCTCGATGCAGAAGTACTACAGGAGCAAGAGGTGGGTGATGCCTCAATCATACCAAATCAATGTTGATTATCGTTTTACTGCACGACAACAATGCTTTAAAATGTTTTCGTCTGGACATTTTAAATTGACATCGTAAATTTGCGTATCTGACATGTCATTTATTCTGGCTTAGACAAGATAAATCCGTATCTACTTGCCGCGTGCACAAAGCTGTGCACGATATGAACGTACTTTTTAAGGTAATACATAAACCGGACGCACAGCCTTTTGTGGAGACATGTAAGTGCTGTTGCAGGGATTAATCGGTGCTGTGAATGACTTTAAACTCCAAAAAAAAGAATAGCACGCTGGATGTAGAGAGATCAAGATGAATGTCAGCACACACTTAAACATTTCTTTGTAAGCCAGACGGACCTGCGTATTGCGGGAAAACGGTGGATAACATAGGTAAAGCCCTTCATCGAGCTACATTGTCTGTACATGTGTGCATGCTAACGTAAGTGTACTAGGATATGAGGATTCATGCAGTTGAATTATGTGGGACAATTTTTATTTCGTGATTATATGGGGCAATCTTTCTTCTGTTATAGATGTCTCCTTTAGTAAATTGCGTTCTCTTTCGCCTTCTTATGTTAGCGTGTGATCGAGGAAAACAGGTGATGTTGACGGATCTACAACTTAAACACGTCATGTAAGTGGTACTCTTGCAGTCAACAAGGTCATTGTACTGCGCTATCGCAACTACAAGGTTTATGCATTTGTTAAAAATGGATAGAATAGGGTCGTGCGAACCCCTACTACGATCCCATTGTTGCGCCAGCTTAGATTAGAGAGTATTGAGGCACCGATACGAATTGGATCTGATATGATTAAAAGTGACAGTCGAAGAATCAATGTAATCATCCCAAAAGGTATTAATGTACATACGATTAATTATCGATGTGCTGTGCGACACAAGTTTTACTAGTCGTGGCGAACGCACACATGCCATTTCAGCGTATTAGATCATGAATCGCTTGCAGGCGGCGATGATCGGCAACGATTCAAGGTGCTAAAGAATCCCACAAACGATCCTTCCGGAGTACAAAATGTGCTTATCGACAGCGTGGATTCGCTGGACGTCGCGGTGTCGAGCCTATTAGAAGTAGCTTCTGACAACAGTAGTCGCAATCTGCTGAACTAGAGAGACGTGGTTGACCAAGAGCAACCGACATGAATTGAGCAGCCCTGTATGGACTCGCAGAATAATTTAACGCGGAGGGGCGTTCACGCCAGCCAAGAGTCTCCAGTTACTCCTTCATCGCTCGACAGCTGGCTTTGCTAATTATAAAATATCACACTGCTTTCTCGTCAATTATTATCACCATTTTTTGTAACCCACAACTGCAATGTCAGACGTAATGGGAGGTGTCATATGCGAGAAAGTACTCAAGTGTTTCACGAAATGCTGACGGGTGAAATTGGTGATTTAGTTGAAAGTTGAGGACTTGTAAATGCAGCCCTACCAGTATTTCAACCAATGAATAGAAGGCTGCGTTCCCTTCGCTTTATCGTTACAGCGACGCCATTTTCCACTAAGCTGTAGGGTACCATAGCAAAGCACAGGCTTTACCCATGCACCGCAAACACGCCGAGTAGTGCTCCTTTTCATTTGTTGCAACTCCTGTTTCGTCATCCGCGCACTTGGCCTCGTATGATGGAATTTGGCGCGACAAGTAGTGCTGTACATGAAAAGGCAGAGCAGAACCTCGGCTACGGTGGCTTTAAGATGCAGGTGTTGGTAGCCAAGGTACTAATGCATGCGCTTTATGAGACTTCGGCTACGATGGCTTTAAGATGCAGTTGTTGGTAGCCAAGGTCCTAATGCATGCGCTTATGAGACTTCAAATTCATCCTTTGTGTATATTTGAATATCTGATTTGTAAGGGTATTGTTAATGCTGAAAATCACGAACGACCTATTCATCTGCCATGATTTTGTTCTAGCTCGTGATCGCCGTGCAGATTCTGGATCTTAGGAAGTTGCTCATTGAATCAATTAAGCCCACTAGAAAAGTATTACATCGTGTTCCAGGCCAATGCCGATATCAATTGTCCATGTGATATGAAGTAACGATGAATCGTTAGGGTCATACGACAAACGCTGTGCACTACATCCGAGACGTGTCGTCGTGCGGAGCTGATCGATGATTAGTAATTGTACATGGTGATTCGCACGTAAAATGCATGCTTTGGTACACGGCACATAGTGCGTAAAAGGCTAGGCGCGAAGTGTTGAATGATGAAGCAAACATTATTAGGGTGGACCGACAATATCGGGGAGGGAGAGGTTAAACGCACCGGTTGGGGTTGGATCGTTTAAGGGCGATTTGTTTTGACCCATCGGGACAAACGACTTTACAAGAAAATAATAAGTGCAGCCAAATCTAATTTCGACGATACCATCCTAATTTTGGATACCTACCCTACATCGTATTTTAATCGAATTTGCTGTAATGACGATTGCTAAAAGGCAATGAGCTTCAACGCGAAGGTCGAGCGAGAACAGAGATCACACATACGTCATCGTAACCAAAACAAAGTGGACATTTCTATGCGTTTTTACCCTCCTGAGCGGCACACCACACTTGTTTCATAGGTGCATTTGCATGTCAGATTACTTTCATTTCTTTTTTAAGCCAACATATCTATATCGGCATCATGGTGAATGCATTCCTAGTACCATAATCAGGATACCTGTTCCGAAAGTGCTTGCAACAAGTTTCAGCACAGCGTAAATTACCAATGATGCGGCCAACAACAACTTCGTCAGAAAAACATCATTTACGATGACCACAACAACAACATGACGTCAGCCCGTCAACGCAGCCAGAAAAAGGCAACCAAGGCTGACGTATGACGAACAAAAGGCACGCTTGGTATATTCTCCGGTGTCGGTGGACTCTCACAGACATTAATTTGAATGGAAAGTACACTGAGATACATAAATGTTAATGGCCACGCATGTGTACACCTCAGACATGTGCTACGCTCTGCAGGAATACTTCCACATCAATGAGCCTCAGTACATGTAAAATTATCGATTTTTCCAACCTCTTCTCTCGGCATCTCCCCCTTTGCCTCAGCCTTCGTAGCTCATTGCCTTCCAGCAATCGCCATTGCTGCAAATTCGATTAAAATACGATGTAGGGTAGGTATCCACTATTATTAAAGTATCGCCAGAATTACGTTTGGTAAAGTCGTTTGTCCCGATGGGTCAAAACAAATCGATGGTAAATGATCCACTCGCGACCGGTGCGTTTAACCTCTTCCTATCGAGGACAATCTTAATATCCTAATTTGAAACACTACCTCTCTTCTTCTGTATCGTCCAATTAGCAGCTGTACATAAATAGTGTTTCGAGTCGTGCTCTTCAAATCCTCTCGTCACCAAACAAAAATAATTGTATCTGCGTGAGGTCATCGTCATGCGTCATGTATACACCATTTATGATCGAGTTTAGCGTTACTTAGACATCAGGTCGACGACTGAGGAACCAATGTTGAGGTTGAATTGTACGTCATGGGCGTGAGTTTTGTCGTCGCATAGAATTCCAATGAATCGAACAGCTTAATCTCGGTACAAGTGACTTTTGTTGCTCGTTCGACATAAGTCCTGGTGTGAAGCTGCAACCTTCACTTCCATAGGCTCTGGTTTCCGAAGTGAGTCACATGGATGTGACGTTGGCAGCAAGTGGCAATGAAGCGTCGACATGTTTCGAGTATTGATGAAGACTTTTCATCTCATGCGATAATGAGCCATTGCACATCTGAGTACCGGGTTCGGTGGTATGGCTGTTGATGAGACATAACTACTGCTGTGCTATTTTTTTCCGGTCTTGACCAACATTCCAAGCGTAGACCATAGCGTGATCGTTGTAATGACGACAGATGCTAAAGTTTAATCAACGCGGTATTTTGACGCGCCCGGTGGCTCGAGAGAAGTAGAGAAAGCGGATGCAAATTGTGTGCCCAGAAATAATGTGTAATAATAATGGTCAATGTTCTTCGTGCAGTTACCTCTGCTCATCACTTTGCCTGGGTATACTTGCCAAAATTATCTCTGATAGCTCCAGTGGTGAGATCCATGCGACGACCGATAGCGCTTTGGCTCGCTCTGAAGAATAATTAATTTAGTCGATCTTAGCTACTGCTCCCAGTATCCAGATGTCGGAAGGCTTCTGCACGCTTGGTCGTGCGCCGTCATCGCATTGTTTGTTCACATTATGTCGCAAATGTGGGAGGCTGTGCTGCTGTGCTAGGAAAGGTGAGCAAGGATACTGGGGATTTGCAGGCAAACGAAGTATCAGCTCACCGTTCGTGCGGTAATCCGTGTAAGACCAAGCTGGTGATCGAGCGCATGAACGATCGCAACGCTACACTCTACCATTAATGGTGTATGCATGACGCGTGACGATTACCTCACGCAAACGCAGTGATTTGTGCTTGGGTGACGAGTGGGGTCGCAGAGCACGACTCAAAGTACTATTTTCAAAGCACTAGTTATGTATCATTGTGTATTGGAGGATGCTGGAGAAGAGATGTAGTATTTTAAAGGAGGATGTTTAGATTGTCCCACGGTACCGCGATCATTTTTTACGAACCACGCTCGGTGTGTATGCGCTGCATCGTCACCTCAAACTGGACGTTGCAATTGGCCTGACTAGAGTTAAGCTAGGTTGGCGCATTATCGGCATCATGAATAGCATTTTGGAAAAATGCTCCAGCTGCAGCAGCAAAGCTCGTTGCACAGAGAGATGATAAACAAGCACAAACCGCTGCTGGCTTCGATGCGTAAACGTAGTCTTTGACTGGTGTGCGTGAATGCCCGATAAGATTGTTACTAAAAAGCGGTTCAGACAGCATAACACCAAGCAGTGCATCTAAAGGGTTAAGTGATACCCTCTCCTCTAATTTTTTCTTCAGCGCTACCATCCTGATTAGCAACCCGCGCTACTGTACCCGGATCGGCTTTAAATCGGAGCGCTGTATCTAACAGGGAGTTCTCAATCATCTGGTGGCTTGAGCTAATCGTGTGCGAGACAGAGTCCAGCAGAAACTCCGTCAAGGTGTTGAGAATGCGAGCAGAATCAGCAATATGACCGTAAATCTCAGGACGAAGAACGTAGCACGTCTGTATAAGGGCACCTCGACGGCCACCATCATGCCGGAGCGCCTTCACCACAGTAAAGCACTTTTCATGAAGTCGTACACCCTTCGTAGGCTCAGCAGAAAGCTCGAGCGCCTCGGAGTACATGGGCCACGCAATTACGACGCGGTCAGGCTGGACAAACTTTCGGCGGATCTGGCGCACTCGGAATGCGGCGGTGGCGTTGCGGCTACCAACGAGCTCTAAGCCAAAACTCTCCATCAACGTGTCGTCCGTCGTTTGTGTCTTCTACGTTTAAACAGTCAGCAGTGTTAGTTCAGCTCATTATAGATACAAAACAAGAACTTAGAAGCCACCTTTAGCTGCTTTTGGTACACAAAGCGCGACGGAATATGGTCCATGGAGTGAACAAAATGCTCCCATACCGCGTGGCCTGTAACTTTGACGCCAAACGGAACCACTTTGTTGGCAAAAATTTCCATGATTGTCGATCCATTTTCAATCCGAACTTGTGCGTCCGCAAATGTACTTTCCATGCGTGCAAGTCCATTGGCCTCAAACACAGCATCCACTTCATTAAGAGCGCAATCCAACTCCTTTTCCAGACGAGCAAAAATCGCTACCTCGTCCTCCTCCTCTGTCGACGTCGGCTTGCGGTGCTGCAAACTGGTCAGGTACTTTCCTTGAATAGATTCCATTACCTATACAATCATCCATGCCAACGGACAGCAACACCATCGTGAGCAAGCAACACATCCCTTTTTACTTCACGACTACTCACTCGTAAGCTCGTGCGTTTCGTCAACATTTTCTCGAGACTTTTTGCCATCTTGATCTGACCCTCTAAAATTAGTCTCAGTCGAATATTTTCCAATTCCACCCGACGCCGTTCCTGATACTGATGCGCTGCAATCTCAGTCCAAACTGGCCCCATCGCGGCATCATCGCTTGCATCTTCAGTCAGCAATGGTTCCCCTACAGGAGTATCTCCTGGCCCAAAAACACCTTTAGTCAATGAATAAGCTGTGTCTCGTGGTGGGTCTTTCGCAGGTACAGGCGTGGCCAGCGCTCGGCGTTGCGAGAGCTGCAGTGTGCGCAATCTCGCCTCCATCGTCTGCACCGTCTTGCGCAGATAAATAAGCTCCTCCTTGCGTTCATCTCGAGCCCGGTTCGAGTTGTAAGACGCCGCTTTGCGCTTCTTTCCAGCACCTGAAGCATTGACCAGTGCCCTTTTCTTGCGTGACAGCTGCTTCGCAGTAGCCGAGAGCGTCCTCTTTTCGGATGTCATGCTGGTCGGGAGCGCTGGTGGTGTACCTGGGCCGCATTTATCTGTAGGGGTAAGACCGTATACTCGAGGCTCTTGTATACCGGACGATGGAGCCTCTACATCAGTATTTGACAACATTGAGTCGCTATAGTTGGGGGGCTGCTGCTGCTGCTGATGGTCGTCAGACGGTAGCAGTAACCGTGAAATAGCGTCGTTATAGTCGTCGTCCTGAAGGTCGGCCAATAGAGCCAAAGCCTCCTGCATGAGATCTTCCTCCTCTTCGAGCCGGCGATGCTCCATCGCGTCCACGGACGAGTCGTCGGACTCCCTGTGTGCTGTGTGCATCAGAAGAACAATCGAGAGGAACCAGACGGCTGGCGGAAAAGTAGCTCTTCATAGCCGGGATGTCTACTTGAACCTGCAAACATCGTATATTTGTATTGCACCTATTCCATATGGGCGAACCGAATCTCCGTGTGAACACATGGGTTCGGTACCAACCTCTGCAACCATTGGTCCTTATAAAAAGACTACTGCTACAAAATGATTAATTCGTGTGACCAATAAGTGACTACCAAAACCCCGATCAACCGAGTTTATAATTAATGTTAATAACACGGAAACTGTAAATCTTCCCTGAGTTTTCTGGTAAAATCTCCTCAGTTCGAGATGGTGCTGCATGATGAGATAATTACGTGTCACGAATACAGGAACGGTATCAATATTAGTTAAATGTTGGATTTTTGTTTTCGCCATAATCAAATACGATTAACTCTTTTTGAGCGAAAATGTCCTGTGGTTGACGTCGGTATCGGCTTTTCAGATCAGTCAGCGATGTACTTAACTCAAAATATGTGAGTGAGTAAGTGAGTGAGCGTGAAGCCATCGTATAAAACCAAAGCAAGCAACAATCAGCATTACTGATGCAGTAGCTTCGTTAAAATCTGTGAAGATGATGCAGCCGTTGCATGACGGTGGGTCACATTGTACAACAATGTGGAATTGTAATCGAACCAAAACATACAGAGCTCGACGGAACCAATTTATCGATCAAGTAACGTTGACAATGTTCATCAGTACGAGTATATTAACTTTGTAGGCACTGCCACTAGTGCATTACTGAAATAGACCCTTGCATACACGAGAGGGTAGTTTTCCCGGCTTCAGTGGCAGGACCATCAACTCGATGATCGTAAGGCAGTAACTCAATTATTGCGGTGCCTAGAATCTTCGTAATAACAGAAGTATTTGTTTTAAACACGCATGTGCGCTTTTCAAAAGCTCCGTGTGCACGACCATCTTTGTGTCCTCCTGCGTGCTTTTATGCGGACCAACTTCGCACATTAGCAAATTCGGATAAGCACTGGAAAATAAGAATCTACACAGTAACGACAAGGAAAAATATTTAAAGCACTCGTCGCGTGCACACGACACGAACGATTCGAATATGCTCTAGAAATAAAATACCCTTAAGGCTTTCTATACAAATTAGCCATTTATCTGAAGGCATGTCTGTAAACTAGCCAATCATGTAGAGCTTTATCAAACTAAGGGAATTTTTACCAGAAAACCAAGGGGAGATTAACGGTTTCCTTATAGAACACCCATAAACCACACTTACAAACGAATGCGAACAACAATTTATGCGATGTCGTGCCACCAAAACCAGTCAATTAACCATTCAGTCAGTAGAGAGAGAGAAATTCATGGCTGTCTATCACCCGTTATGATTACGCACTCCAAGTTTGACATCGTCTAAGCCGGAAATACAGCACCAGACGCGTCGGTGATACGTGGCACCGTTGCTCGAGGTAGTGGTTTGACACTCCACTCTAGGGTTAACAATTTAATCTGGCATGCAACCCAGATCCTAAAGCTACTTTTTTGCACCTTTATGTTCTCGCATAGCCAGGCGATTAAATGATGTACACCCGTAGTCTAGAAGTGTGACACACTGGTCTGCATCGTGGACTGCGCGCCACGAAGAATGGCATCGTTTTGCTCACACCATAAGTGTGTGATGCAGATAGAGCACATCAGGGACCATGTCCGTCGCCACACCTGTTTTCCCGCCGCGACATCATATTGCCTCTCCGATTTCTAGACCGCTAATGCGCTGGATTTTTAAGGCCGACAGTTGGCTCAGTTGGATGATTATCTAGAAGAGACACGAGAAGTAGCGATGGAGCCAACCTAATGACTGAGGAATTTACTACAGCACGCACGCACCTTCGGTTACTCCCAAATCAATTGTAGTGAAGACTCAGGCACTCCCTTAACACGACTACAATAAAAAAGCATCTATTTGTCGTGAGATATTCCGCGTGGTAGATATTGAGTCGCTTGGCAGCAAACAGTACGCCGGTCAAACTTGAAAGTCAGAGACCCGTGTTCGTGCTTCCAGATCTTGTAAGCTTATGTATCGCCGTCCGAAGCCACGTATTTTTGCAAATAATCGAATTTAATTGTTCCAACAAGGATAGCAATTGGAGGGTAAGCAGGCGTATGTGGAGCTCAAACGCCTGTCCAATAATTGACTGACGTATGAAACAATTGGGAACCGTATGGTGCACCGTCCATGCGCAACGATAACGGCGAGAGTGTGCGTACAAGACCACTCCGTGCTGCCTGAGATGCGTATCCCAGCATAAACGCGAAATGTTCGACTCCGTGTCAAGCTCCGTAGCTCCTTCTTAAAGTACCAATGCAGCTTGTCGTCGGCCTGATTCAAGAAAAACAGACCAACATTTATCAGCGAACGACCTCTGCGAGTGCCGACTATGCAGCCATGGCGATCAGTCAGCCATTTAAATTCATGACAAAACGAGGCGACGTTTAATTAACAAAACATAATCCAGACCCAAAACGAATGATTCGGGAATTCAAGTGACGCCAACAAAATTGGAGCTGCTCATCGCCGCAATTGGCTGGAAAACGTAACTCTTTCCGGCCTCGGTGGTTGGTGGATGGTGGTGGGTATGCACGTCGGTGAGTGATTTGTTTTATGTTGCAGTAAATATTTATAGAGCAACAAATTTGTCAAGACGATTTTTGGTCTTGACAGATTAAAAGTGTTTATAAACGTGTTTATGAAGTCGTTTTGGAGGATGCTATACACTTATCATAAAGTCGGTTGATCGGGGTTTTGGTTGGCATCCAATAGCTAGACGATTACAAATGAGTGACAAGAGATGTTTTTCAGATTTCCAAAATTTGTCCTTGTCCGTGTTCCACATTTTGATGCATCATAATATGTTTGAGTTAGAGCGCCTCCAGCAGTTAGAATAAATTCACTTTTCATTCAATCATAACATTTCGAAAGTTAGGCTCGTAAATCTGCCGCAGCAGCGAAGCAACTCAAGGAACAGTAATGTTTCGTTAATTTGGCATACGTTTTTTTGTCCTCCGACACCCGACGGTAATTTTCTGGCTAGTTGTCATTTGCTAGATCTTGTAAATTGTGTCATGTAAAAATATGGATGGATAATTTTTTTAACCTGCTGGAAAGGGGGACTAGTCGCTTGTACTGTCACGGTACGAGCTGCTTACACTGAACGCAGTGCAAGATGGTGCTTCAAGACGTTATGTACACGCGTCGCGCAGGGGAATGTTTCAACACAAGAATAGGGGTAAAAGTAGAACTGTAGTGGAGCTACACAGCTCTTAGACAGAGGACATCTTACGACTCTAGAAGTCACTTAGGTCTACTAGATTAATTTCCCATCAGTTTGTAGTCTCTATTTCTTAGAATTAATCAATAAATACTCGGATTGTGTTTATGCTTGTAGAGCTTCTAGTCTTGGTTCAAGGAACTAACAATGTAGCGGAGCTACACAGCTCTTTATGTCAGAGGAAGAATTATTCAACAAGCCAACGGCTTACGGCTGACAGCTTTTTAGTTCTACAGAACTAATATACCAAGTTAAAGAGTCACCCAGTTATACGGAACTCGGGTGGACTCTACGAGCTAACAGCTCAGCTACTGTAGTTCTAAGCAACTACACGCCAATGTGCGAAAGGGGAGTACCGGAGTCTTAAAATTCTCTAACCCACGACAGCTCTAAAAAACTGTCGTACGCAAGGTGCGAAAGGAGGAGGGGAGTCTAGGGACTTCTGCTCGAAATGAGAACTGAACTGTATTTAGATTTTATATTAAGGAAAATCCTACTTCATGTACCCTTTACTATTCTAAATACAAATATTTGTATTCGAACTAAATGAATGGTTGCCACATCACTCAATCATCAAATGATGAAGGTACAAAGTACGTACACGGTAAGTATTGTAAACCTGGGAATATTGATCATTCGATATTCTCTTGCTGATACAAAATCTAAGGTCACACACATCCATCCATGTCATTTATGGGAGGTCTTTGACCAATTCATCAAAGGCTAGTGTGACCCCGTTACAAACAACGACTCCTAGAATCTTACGCACAATCTTGTCGAGGATGTCGCAAGTTAAACCTAATTGTGGTGCTCAAAAAGTACACGGCATTTAGGCAATCTTGCCGAAGAGGTCTCTGGTACCCCCAAATTTCTCTGAATCAAGGCACCCTCTCCACTCTACCAGATTCAAGTACTGACCATGACGATGACTTCATTATTGTGTCGTTTCCACATGAATAGAGGCTCCCTTGCTCGTCAAGCAACGCCGGTGCCGGTGCGTGTGTCAGCTGTAGCCCCAGAGGCATAATTTCACGAGGTAAAAAGTCTTCGCGAGACGTAAGGTCAGGCCCAGCGCACACTTGACGCGGTGCAAGATCTCTTGCCAATGTGTAATACGAGCCAGATACGGATGGAAAAGCAACTTGACCTCTTTATTCGGATGCATCAGCATGTGGCAAATCACATCCTTGCGGCGAAACGCCTCCGGATCAACCTGAAAAGTTTACCAATGCGGCTTAAGAAAAACAACATAAATACATAGTGTGTGCGTAACTTGCGCGGTAAATTTAGCATATACGCAAGATCCTACTTAGCCACGACCGTAAATGGTCCTATGAAGCGAGGGTGCAGCTAAGTCTTGAGCACAGCAGACATTATAATTGTAGATAGGTTCTTGCATTTAGTAAGCCTTCATCACCGACCTTAGGACTTTCAATATCGCTTCTGCCTTCAGTATCCGCTTGTTCCTTATGTTGCATCGGCTGTCAGCCGTTGCGCCACGCGCATGTCGTTAGACACTAAATCGTGTTGTTAGTAGCGTGCTAACCTGTTTTAAACAGCAGAAGGGGTGGCATCAGAAAGACAACCGGCTATGTTCGCCCCACCAAGCCTTGAGCCACGTAGCTTTAAGAGTTAAAGAAAAGCGGGTGTGTGTGGGCCGATCACGAAGTATAG